TAAAAGCCAGCCTTCCTTGGGACAGAGGGAAGGGCATGGTGTGTAGCATCTTGTACCAGATTACAAGGCAAGATGTATTCTATTTGCTGTCTGTATGGCAGTTGTCTTTTGGCAAGTGGGCAGTCTTCCTTATCTCTTCCACACCCACTCCTCCCTCCAGGGAGACATCTGCTGATAAGAGGCTGTTGAATGTCACTGCATGGCTGATAAGAACTACAGCATCCCATTGGGAGATGCTCCGCCCAGAGGGAAGTTCCCAGCATTTCTACCTGGATATAATCTGGAGATTCTGGAACACCACACAGCATCTCCACTGGATTTCCCAGAGGAACAGCAGCTGCCTCTTCTTCCACTGGATCTTCAGAGGAAGACTACACCCTTTTCTACAGGATCCCTGCTCCAGCAGAACCACACCTGACACTTCAGGACGACTGCAGCCACAATTCCAATTGGACTGCTATCTACACCCTGACCAACAGGGTGTCAGGTTGGGTTCTGACCCTGTCAGTGTTGTTCTAGTGTACTGCATTGTTTATTTTATCCTTTTACTCTCTTCCCTATTAAAGAACTGTTATTCCTGCTCCCATATTTGTTGTCTAAGATTCCCTAATTTAAATTTTATAGCAATTCAGAGGGAGGGGGTTTACATTTTCCGTTTCAGGGAGGCTGCTGCCCTCCTTAGCAGGCACCTGTCTTTCTAAACCAAGACACATCTGCAATGTAAAGAGGTCTGGAACAGTTGCTGCAAACCCCAAAAGGTGACTCGGGGTACCACCAAACCTACTCCTTTAGAGTGTTCATCACCTTAATAATTCTGCAACTTTGCCAAGTAAAAATGGATGTCCAGAGACATCTGGACATTGATCCAATCATTGCACAGCCCAACACGGAGAAATCCAGCTACTGTCACTTTATTTGTCTTCATGCCTTGTGATTCACTACACTTGTTTACAATACAAATACACTATTCAATACAAAATACTCAATGACCATATATTAGTATTTTTCTTCATAGTATCCCTGAAGTGCACAGGCCCTTCCTTTATAAACAATGTTGCATAAACGGCTGTACATGAGACAGACACTCCTAAAATGAAGCTCGGTACTGAAAGAAGCCAGGAGGGGACACTTGGGACGTTTCCCTGGGATGGGTTTAACTCTGGGACAGATGAACAGCGATGTCTTTGCTGCTGTGGAAGGCTGTTTTATGCTATTCCCATCTCCAGGTTCTCATCCCCCAGCAGCCAGGAGCAGACATGCAGAGTGGCACCTGCCATTCCCTGTTCCAGCCCTGTGCTGCTCCCTGTGTAGGGCAGCTGGAGCAGCCCTGGTTTGACACCGCTCTCCAAGACCCACTCGGCCACATTAATGCAGCCCTGGGGCCTCCCTCCCACCATGGACCCTGCACCTCCTCTGGCTGTGGCCAGACCCCTCTCCCACCCCACTCCCTCACTGCCTCGGGGGAGCAGAACCACCCCCGCTCCTGCCCTGCTTCATTCCCAGGCACGTGGTGGGGAAACAAGGTTCAGTGGCACAAAGGGAAGGTGATGGGACAGCTGGAAAGGCAGAGAGACAGGCAGCCAAACCCAGTTTACCTCCAGCAGCTCATGGAACCACCTACTTATCCTCTATAGGAAACCAGGTAACATCCACATGGAAATAAGCCATTTTCAGGGTTTTTCCCCAGTTGTACTTTACATCCCGTAGATCATACTGCTTCCTGCTTTTCCACTGCAGAATGAGGAAGACATAAATCAGAACATCATTATTACCAACACAAAAGATTAACAGTCTTAAAACAAGTTCCTTAAAAATATACAGTGTGTCAATAGACTATAACTTAAAAAATAAGTCGTTGACAAAAAGGGTAAGAGGGTTAAAATAACTTGAATTTGTTTTTCTCCTAGTATGGAGGGGTTTGATAGTGGAATTTGGGATTTATAGAGTGCTTTGGTCTGGTGAGCCTATGGTGACTTAAATCCCTTCTGCTCCCTGCAGCTCTGAGTACTGAACAGGTGAATCGTCCTAGACACAGAAATTAAAATTTCTGGTTCATGCTCATGGCAACTGCAGCTTGAATACAATCAACAGAGCACCCTTTGCTCCAAACAATTAACGGCAGTATTTGTTTTCTAAGAAAGAGGACAGGCAAATGCTCCAGGTCCTGTTTCTAAGTGAGGAGATTTGATTACCAGCAATATTTACAGAACAGTTTTTGCAACCTGGGGTACTGTGCTTGGACAGCACACATTGATACCAAACTAAATGCTTGCTGTGGAAGAGCTCAGAAATTGTATGGTTTTGACATTAAAAATGAGCCCAAACTGGATTTCTGAATTCCAAGAGTTAAGAGAGAGGGATTAAAAAAAAAAAAAACCAAACAACAGTAATACAAACAAACCCCAAAACTCCAGCCCCAACCAACCAAGAAAATCCAAACCATTAAAGAACCTACAACAGAGCATTTTGCACTGGAGACACTAGAGGGAAGCTCACTTAAAAGCAGCTGCCAGTGCTGAACAGTATTTGTCTCAATGCACTGTATTGAGCAGACTGGAGAATTTCAGTAGCAATTCACCATTTCCCCTGATCAGAATTATCTCTTGACATATTCCATAGGTAAGAAGCAGGACTGTGTTTAGCTCCTTCATTTTTTTTACAACTCCCATTCTGTAAGAAATTCCATGATAAAATAACTGCACAGCACAAGCTCAAAGCAGTAACCACACCCTCACCATGGCTGGGAGAGCCTGCCTTTCACACCTACAGACTTAAAATCATCTCTTGCTGCTTGTGCTTTTTAAGTTTCTTTAGAAATTCCACCTTTAACATCATAACCTGGCAGCTCATCTGCATTTGTGCAGCATCGAAGCTGCTGCCCCAGATCCAAGAATTAATAATTTCAGCTAGTCAAAGATCATTAACTTAGCAACTTTCTGTTCTTGTGCATTCTTTTGAAAACACTCATCAGTAAACAGGTCAGCTTCTGCCCTCAGTAACTTTGAAAGGCAGCAAAAACTCAGAGTGTGCTCCTTTCCAAAGAAAGGCTAAAGAAAACAATGAGTTCAGCTTTTCTGAAAATGAGAAAGCTGGAATACTTAAATGAAAATTGCTATTATATGTGAATAATGTCCTAGTGTAATAAATTGTTCAGATGGTGCTTGCCTCCTGAATTAATCAGCTTTCCTGAGACTCGAGAAACTGCCCCACTGAGTTTACTGAGCTAGAGAGAGAGAGAGACTGGTGTGACACTAACACAATCCTGAGCTAGACAGAATCCCTCCCCAGTGGCTATTTCACAGCAAGAGCTGTGAGCCTAATAACCTGGGAGATGACAAATACCCTCCTAGCTCAGCCTAAAGAAGCCTGTAAGCGTGACCCTTGTTATCCCCCCTAACCCATGCAGCAGCAGTGGGACGGATCTCTAGCAGATGAACATGAAATTCAGAGCAGCCCCTGACCCAAGCTTCCCAACAGGAGCACAGCCTGTTAACCAGTCACCACATCTGCTTTTGGCTTTGGTCTAAATAGAGGATTTAATTCTGGGTATCATAGGCATCAGAAAGGCAGATTAGGAGAACACACTAGTGCTCCCCCTGCAATGTGTTTTGTACGAGGGGAGTGATGTTGGGGAAGATGAAACAGGAAAGCCCCTTATAAATATGACTGCCTGGCAAAAGATTTTGAGAATATGGAGACTATAAGTGAGATTGAAATGAAAGCAAGCTTTGAGATACCTCAGTTACTGAACAACTGGAAAACAATGGTATGGCCAGCTGAAGGTAATCCCCTTTTGATCAAACATTACTCTCTGCTTGCAGACAAATCCAAGGGTCAGAGCAGACCCTACTAGCTTGTCAGAAGGGGTCCAAAGAGTAGCTTTTAGGGTTTAAAATGTAACACACTATGGTAATGCAATGATTCTTATAGGCTGCATGTAAATGCTATAGGATTTGTATATTGTAGTAGACGGGTTAGTGAGAATCAGAATATTCAGCACAGAAGAAGATTTATTGTATTGTAATGGGAACCTCGCTTGCTCTCTCATCCTCTTTACCACGCTCTTGCCTTTTCTCTCTTTACCTCTCTCTCCCTCTTTTGTGCCTGCTCTGAGCTGGGGCTGGCAGCTCCAAGCTGGGCCCCTGCACCCACACATTTGCAATAAACCTCAAGTTCCATGACCTGGCTTCAGAGATCTCTCGTCTTCATCCGTCCCAACCATCCCCCTGCATCGCTCCTACAGTGTGGCCCAAGCCAAGTCCTCCAATTTCAATCTGCCCATCCCAAATTTTAGGAGGTATAGACATTCTGGTTTGTTCTCTGATGAAGACAGGAAGCTTACCTCCACGTTTGGATCCAGGGCCAGACTCAGGGTCACTTCATTGAAATGAAGAGTCTCAGACTGAAGAACACCTTCCCACTCCTTTGCTGATGCTCCAGTACTCCCATTTCTATGGAAATAAGCACCCCTTTTTTGGATAGCGATCATGCTAAAACAGCTCCTCCCAACCCTAAGCTGAAGTTACTAATGCACATCTTTACACATGAATTATTTCCTACATCTATGTTTTGACAATACACTTAACTGGAGTATTTTTCATGCACGGGGTGTACAAAGTGAGTCAATGGAGTGTTTGTCCTTAAACCACTATCATACATGTATTTTGCCAAAGGAAAAAGGGCTCTAAACCCTTCAGTACAGACAGTATCTGGCTTCCAGACAGTGGCACGATGTAGTCTTCTGCCTTTATGGTGTTGTTCCTACAGTGTATATCAAAGGCTACTTCAAACCTTCGAGGTATGCAGGTGGCTGTCCCTTTTCAGGGCACGGTGAAAGTCTCTCTCATGACCATGGTCCTTTAAAGCTTCACCTTGATTCCACTTGACACTTCAACATTCCTTATGAAGGGCATCCCTACTTTTGTAGGACAGAAGGAATTTTAAAGGGTTTTACTTGGTTCTGGTGTTTAAGCATAGGTGAACAAAAACAAACCAAAGAAAACCCCAGCCAAACAATGCCCGCCCCCTGAATGCCTCGTAGCATCTACACCCATCCTCTGCTTCCTCTGCCCTCCCCTTCAAGTGATGCAGTGTGACCAGGGTTTTTCCACTGCCCTGCCAGCACCCCCACAACACTGTGCACTCAAGGACTTTTGAAGACTGGACTGCAGCTGGACCAAGACTGGAGAACATGCCATCGCGTCACCATTCAGCGCCGTCGTATTTCTTTATTTTGGTTTGGATAGAGCATGCTCTTCCCAAACCCACTACAAGCCCTGCCAGCAGCAGGAGATCTCCAGGTCTTCCACAGCAACGACAAGTTTGGCACGGGAAAGCCCAGACATGAAACACTCATGGCAGTGAGCTGCGGCTTGACACGGAAGCAGAGGACGCACAACTGGGAAAAGCTCACAGGAAGGGCATGACGACAACCATGCGGATGAGTTGATGCAACAGCAGCTGGGCCTTGCAGTTAACAACAGTTCCCTGCATCCTCCCTCCCCCTCGTTCCTTTGACTCTGCTGGGGCCCCGGTGGTTTGAAGCCTCTCGGGTTAGTAGAAATTACAGCCTCAAGGGTGGCACTTTTGGAGCAAGTTTGCACGAAACAGGAGGTGATGCTGTCCCATGCCTTGCTCGCGGGGTGTTGGGTAACGGGACATCTCTTCAAGGCTCAGGGGCCACGGGGGGGAAAAGTCAAGAGAGGGTCGAGGGCTCTCAGGGCCCCTGCTGGGTTATGTGGCTCTTGTTTCTGAGGACAGGGTCCTCATAACTGCTAGCACAAGGTGATGTGGAGCTTTCCAAGGGCAAGCCCTGCTGCTGGTATCCGTAGTTGACGTTCCCACAGGGGAAGTGGCGGAGCCTAAAGAGAGGCACTTCTTTAACACTTGCGGTTAGGGAAGATGGCTCTAAGAGCAGGGAGGAGCCTGGCAGCCTGCCAGTCACAATGTTGGGCCCCACAGTACAGTTTCCTTCCTGTCCCAAATTCTCCCTCTCGGGCCTCTCCTTCTCCAGCAGAGAACTGTTTTTGCTGGCCTGCTTCTCCGCAAACCAGGAGCCGTAGGTTGGATTCCAGAGGTTGGTGGGCTTGTTTCTGGAGCCCCGGCTTTTGTGAAGCTCGGAAGGGGGGTTGGACTGGGCATAGGCCATGTTGATGTGTCCTCCCCCTGTGGCTGACTGCACCTTCCCTGGCGGAGGCTGTTCCAAGGCTCCCACTTTCCCTAGAGATTTTCCGGCAGTGACGGCCGATGCCAGGGGTGGTGGAGACGGCAGGGTTTGCTTATCATCCTTTCTGTCTTGGTGTGTTGAGACCAAGAGAGGAGGAATTCCTTCTGGATCGTCGGGGCGCATCGCCACCTTCTCCTCCTCCTCAGCTGACGGGCCGTACTCTACCGGCAGGGCGGTGTTGATGACATCGGGATCCTGCCCAAGGGAACAACGGGAATTCCTCAAAGCCTGCAGCCATCACACATCTAGCAGTTGTCATGCTATGATCTCAAGACATCCCACCACCCAGAGCCCACATTCCATGAGGAGGGGATGCAGACAAAATGCAGTTAGGTGTGAGATGCAACAGGATATCCTTAAAATCCAACTCCTTTTAAAGAAAGTAACCCTCAAACTCACCATAGAACAGCAGAGGCACAAAACCAATGAAAAGCATTTTTTATGTCCAGCAAAATTTCCTGTGGGAATGCTTTTTGGAATCTCTATCATCTCAGAGTTCATAACACTCTAAGATAATATTGAGAATGTTGGAACCATGTAAGTATTGCCTCCACATGAGAAGGGAGGAATGGGAATGCTGAGTGAAGACAATACTTGCAGACTCCTTGAAGCCTGAATCCACAGGGGCTGTGGTTCTGAGCTATTTAAGCAGTTTTGAAAATTAAACTGAGAGAAAATGCAGTGATCTTGGCAACCTTTACTTATTGCTATATGCCATGGCAAGCTACAGATAGCAGAAAAAACTACCTCCCAATCCCAGGATCCAAACACACGTAAAAAACAGATCAAGCTTCCCAAATAGCAAGGGAAAGCAAACTGACTGAAGTGAGCAACAGTGAGATCATACAAGGAGCCTGCGCTGATGCAGGCAGGAGAACATTTTCCAAACTGCTCTATTCCTCACAAGCTAAACTGGCGGTAAAAAAAAAAAAAAAGAGTAAATCAGATTTTGGCCTGGAAAGCCAGCCACATCTTTTCCCCCCTGCCTAGCCTAAGAATCCCCGCTCCTTCAGCCTGGCCATCTCTCCACCTGCCTACTCCAGCGCTGCCAGATTAAAACAAAATTGCCAACAGCTGCTGAAACCATCTGCAAAGGGTGCTCTGAGCTGGGACCACTTCTGTTCAGTGCTGACTATGCCTTAAGGGTAAACACTGGGATGGAGTGGCTGGGATGAGGCATGTGAAAGCAGTGCAGGTGCTACCCTGTCTTTGCTCTTTTGCTTGTTGGAATCTGTGCCTCTATAAGCAGAAGCAGGGCTACAAGTGTGCTCTCTGTAAAGTTGTGTCAAACTGTGTCAGGCTGTGCCTTTCAGCAGCAAAAGACAAGAAGATCAAGCACCTGGTGAGGTGAATATCCCAGCCAGGGGTCCCAGGCTGACATCAGTCTCCCTGGACTGCAGTAGTGCAGTGCTGCCTCCTCATCTCAAGTCCTGGCTTGTCTAGAGAGCTCTTTAAGAGGAACCCTCTCCACCCCTGCCACCTGAGGTGAATGAACATGGATACCTGAGTGCAGTACTCAATCCTCTCCAGGATTATGGCAAAGTTTGGCCGGTCCTCAGGCTGGTGCTGCCAACACTGGGTCATGATGCGGTAGCTGGAAGGGCAGAACAGGAGATGTTCGTGAATGGCAGATCCTGTGGGATGTGACAACTGCTCAATGCAACTTGGGAATCACAGACATTCAGCGCCATTCTTGCTTCTAATAAATGAGAGTTCTCTGCCTTCCCTGGAACTGGACAACTGATGCACTGGTGACCACTGGAGTGTGACCACCAGTGGGGTGAAATGCAGAGTCTTTCAGAGAAATTACTCATCCACCTGAAATCCACTGGACAACACACTAAAGCTAGGCAGGGCTGCAGATAAAGGAGCCCAGTTTTCCCTGCCTGTGAACAGTCTGATGCACTGAAGTTTCACAGCTAACCTAAGACGGAGAAACATTGTGTCATCTTTGACCACACAAGCAGTGGCCAGGACTTCTCCAATGGGCCCTGATTTATTCTCCAAAACAACAGAAAAATTAAATATTAGAGAAATCACTGGCACTAAAGATTAATAAGGCAGATTAGCCATGATTAGGTCAATCTTAAAGGTCATTAACTTTTGAGTAGAGAAAAAGCATTTGAAACAGAAACTTAGTTGCATGAATATATCAAAGTTACAGTCTCATACACAGGGCCAGGGCAGTTTTTAGGTGGATCCATCCTTCCTCCATTGGTCACAAACTCCAGAACCTCCTGGTTGCTTTTGCTGGGGTAGGGCATGTATCCCAAAGAGAATATCTCCCACAGCAACACACCAAAGGACCTGAGTACAAAAAAAGAAACAAGAAACAAAGAGAAACAAAGGAAAACAAAGTGAGGGATACTGGAATGACCATCACCAGTGGGCAGTGCCCTTAGGTTCAGTACCATCAGCATTGCTTTTTGCAACATTTGATCAGGCAGCTAGTGGAAATCTTGCTGTAGGATTCAGACATAAATAAGCTGCACAGCTGTAACTTTAAAACTTTTAACAAATATCAGGAGTTGACTGTTAGGTGAGTGAAGCCTATGATGTAGGTAGGTAAACATGGTTGCTTTGCCCTTGTACTCAGCACTGCTCAACTGGAGGTAACAAGAGTGAAAGGTTATCCTTTTCTGAGGCACTGACCACTGCCAGAGAGAGAAGTTTTGACAAACTTTTCCTCTGGAACAGCTACCCTGCATGCAATATCCTGCTAGTGAATCCCCACTGGTTCTCTGAGGCCCACAGGCCCCACCTTTCACTCAGATTAGAATGAAAACACTCCCCAGCAAACACAGCCCTGGCCTGGGTGCTGTGGGCTGCAAAGCCCTGGGGACAATGGCTGGGACAGTGCCCCTCCAAAGCATTCACCTGATTTAATTCACATTAAAGCTGTAGAGAGATGTGCAGCAGTGGGAAACTCCTCTGCTTGGTGCTGAGACAGGCAGAGCTCAGCTGTACCAGGGTGTGGACCTCACCCCTCTGCTGGCTCAGGGGCTGGGTCCTGGCCACCAGCCCCTTCCCCCTCCACACGCTCCCTGAGCTCTTGCCTCCTGCTCTCCTGATTTTCTGGCCACTCAGGAGCTCCAAGTGCTGCTGTAGGCCAGGAGAAAGGCAAAACCCACAATGAGGACACCCTTCTCCCTGACTGGCAGGATGGATTGTGCCTGCAGCCTCCCATGCTGCTTTCCTCAGTGTGGCACTGATGCTTTCCTCCTGCAGTAGCAGCACCTGCATCTGCTCTGCTCTCCCTGCCCTGCAGCACCCACCTCTGCACAGGCCTGACCCTTCTGCTCCCTTGTCTCCTCAAACACTGCTGGCTCTGAAAGACCCAGCTTGTCTTTTTAGTATGTGAGAAGTGAACAGTACCATGTGGTTTTCACAAAATATTCACGGTTTACAAAAGGGGTCCCAACACAGACAGAGCGGCCAGCGGAGGAAAGGAAGCGCACCATGTGTCTGTTTTTGATGTAAAGATCCCTTCCATGAAAGCTTCAGGGGGCATCCATTTGACAGGCAACATTGCACACCCACCCTTACGATAGTAGCTGGCTCTGCAAAGAACAAACAGAACAAAAGAGTCAGCCAAGGATTCAGAAAATGCCATCAATATGGGATTTTCGTAATTACAAATATTCAAATTATGAGCCAGAGGAGAGACTAATTTAGGTGGAACAATCTAAGTGCTGGAATGACCTGTTTCTTCTCATAGAAGCAGTGGGAAAGAGCAAATCATGGAAGTGCTGTTTAATGTACACCACTTCAGGCCTGACCTGGTGAACCAGTTATCCTCATCCTCATCCTCCTAGGGAATTGCTAACACAGTAACTGCTGCTGGCAGAGCTTCCTCCTGCCCTTTTCAAACACAGCAAGATCTCCTCACCTCATGTCACACATGGTCATCTTGGGCATACCCAGCAAGAATAAACCAAACCTCTCCCATATATACCCAGTCTAAAGCACTGTGAGTAAAATCCAAACCCCTCAATAGGAGCAAGGAACTTCTTGAGGAGGATGCCAGGTCATTAGAGCTGGGACAGTGACACAAAAATGTTCCTGAGACAGGAGTTGCAACAGTCCTTTGGAGTTGCTGTCATTTAAGATAAAAACTGCAAGCCCCCAATGCCATGCTGGCATTTGCAGGAGGCTGCTCATGCAAGGTGGTATCACTGATCACAACAGCACAGCCTGAGCATCCAAAGGGTGCTCCTGGACAAAGAAACACATGCAGGCTTCAAAGGCACCTTTGAAAGCTCAGCATCAAAGTGTTCATCTTGGCAGTCAGTTTGCTGCTTGTGTGAGGGTGACAGATGCTGCTCTGTCCCAGCAGAGCCCCATCTGACAGTGGGGCTGCATGGGGGCTCTTTGTGGAGGGAAAAACACCCAAACAGCTCTGATACACTTGGGTTTCTGAAGGTAGCACTCTGTTTGCAGCACCTCAGGCTGTGATACTGTCAGAGCTCAAGCTGAGCAGAGCCAAACCTGGCTTAGTAATTGCACAGGAAAATCCCCAAGCAGGAAAAAAAAAGAAGGCAAGGCACTGGAATAAACTGTGCAGGTGACTGAGCATGAGGCATTCCTTCTTCTGAGTCAGGGCAAATCAATTCCTCAGCACAGCAGGGTATGGAGCTGCACTTCTAGAGGTGCTCTGTGGAAGATGAAACATCAAACTGCAGCCCTGACTGCTCATGGTCATTAAAGATTTTCTGGCACTTCTTGCAAGAGCAAAGGTAGTTAACCCTGTGTCCTGGCTGAATTCCAGTTTGGGTGATTACATTTTCCTGACCTTCTACACCTTCCTCCTTGAGCTGCAGTAAATTTAGGAAATTTACTGGTGCAGGGGTAGCATCAAGGAGAGAGATTAAACTCAGAATGATTTGGGATCACAAAACAAAGGGGCACATCAATGCCATTCATCGTGGAGAATGTAAAAAAAGGAAACTGAGGACAGAATCTAAGAGGGAGGAAAAACCTTCCATGACCATTAGACTCCACTGCCCAGGAGAAAACTGCCCAGGGCAGTTTAAGGCAAACACCAGGAAGGCATCAATTGGGATTCACCAGGCTGGCATCTCTCCGCTCCTGCCTCACCAGGGTTACACAGAGCAGCACAAGAGGCTGCACAAACACTGCTCCTCCCCCATTTCAGTGACCTCCCACTTGCAGGTACGCTGGGCTTGGCTCTGCTACCTGTAAATATCCCGGGCCATTCCAAAGTCTCCAATCTTAGCCACTCTCCCAGGCCCTCGACAGGTAAGGAGGCAGTTCCTGGCAGCAATATCCCTAAAAAGAAAGGGAAGAAAAGAAACAGAAAGAGAAGAAGCACTTAATTATTAGGCAGTTTTGCAAATCAAAAAGAAAACAAAATATAGGACCTACTTTCCTGAGCTGCAGAGAACCTAAACAGCCAGAAAAGTCAGTGTTTATGGATAACTGCAATGTCCCCAGTTCCAATCTATCCCCACAGCAGGAACAGTTTTGTTCTTTAACATTTTCTCTTTAAACTTCACATAACATCTTCCAGTTGAAAGGGTGGGCCTCCTGTGAGCCTCCCTTCACCCCAGGAGTTATTTTTATGTCTCTAAGGAGTGCAAGAAGAGGAGCTGATTTCAGAATGTACCAGTCCCAACATCCAGCTGTCTGGGCAATGATCCACTGATCTGTTCCTACTGTGCTTGTTCAAGTATTGTCAAAAGGCTGTTGTACTGCCAGAGACAGGTGTCAGAACACTGCCAGAACAATGTGCAGGTGTTGCTCTGAATACTGAAGCTGTGGGCCTGAATCTGTGTATGCAGGTAAATCTCCACCTCTGCTGGGCTGGAGTAAACCTTGAGGTCTGAATAGCACAATGGCACAACTTGTGGTGACTCTCAGAGCTGCAAACTGCCACCTCTCTGCTCATCTCTACTCGGCAGGCAGATTCTAGGTGCTTGCCAAACCCCCTGTTTTGCAGGAGCCATGGTCACTGATGCTGCCCTTCTGGCTGTGCTTGTACAGGTGCTCTTCGAGGGGGAGAAGAAAAAGCTTCCAAAATGAGCATACAGGCACTAAATAAAATTCGTGACAGGGAGAGCTTTAAAGACTTCTGTCACAAGACTGTGTCCATCTGCAGAGTAGGCAAATAGGCTGCACAAGTGCAGGCCCTGAGACAGGGCTCAGGATCTTTGGCAAAACTACAGACCTTTGCCAGCCTGATTTATAGCAGCTCCTCTCTCTATTGCTTCTACAATTCTGATTTTGTCTCCCTGGTTTAAAGGTATCCAGCCACTAGAGTGCAGCAGGACACAAACAGATGGAGCAGGGCATTATGAGCCCCTGCTGGCCTTTCTGCAAGTCCTGCCCAGGCGGGGCTCACCCACCTGTGAATGAAGTGGTTCTCCTCGAGGTACTGACACCCACAGGCAATGTCACGGGCCACGTGGAGCAAGTCCAGCATGGAGAGGGAGGAGGGCTGATTCTGCCAAAAGACAAGGGACACACATGGGTTAAAAGCAGAAATATGGTGTGGTTTGTCACTGCTGCAGCGCTGGGAGCTCCCCAGCAAGTGACAAAGGGATTAGGGAAATGCACAAGAGAGAGTTCATACCCATGAACTATGAAAGGATGTGCAGACACAACGTTACACAGATCCCAGAGACAGAATCAGAACAGACAGAGTCAGCTGGCTCTGACTTTCCAGCTCCATTGGGATGACCCTGTAAGAATTTCCCCCAGTTCTCAGGGCACATCTTCTGAATTTTCAGCACGATTTTTCAGATCTGTAGCCTGAACTGTTCTTCACTGAGTTTCTCTGTATTACTGCCAGCTCCTCTCTAAAGTCACCTTGAACCACGAGAATGACATTTTGTATAATGGCATGAGTCACATTTGCTCTTTCCCTCCTCCACATCTGTGTAGGTTTTATCTTGCCCCTCAGAGCACTGGCACAGTTTTGTGTAGCCAATGGCTATGGAAGGCTAAGGCTGCCAACTCCTTGTTCCTGCCCCTGTGATGAAGCCCACAGCCCTTGCCAGGAGGAGCCAGATGCTCTAGTGGAAAGGGCAGGATTCACACCCAGCCCCTGCAGCCAAACCACAGCTGCTGCCCTGAGGTGTGAATCAGTGATCCCTGTGGAGAGATTCAGTGATCCCTGTGGTGAGATTCAGTGATCCCTGAGGTGAGATTCAGTGATCCCTGTGGCCAGTCCTGTGGGGAAGGGGAAAGTGCTGCTGCCTGTGGAGTGAGGAGAAACAACCGGGTGGCAGTGACTGCTCATGGCACAACAACCATTTCATGGATAAGTGTTTATCAGCCTTAGTTATTCCACCAAACAAGCTTATCACACTCCTTGGCTCTCTCTTAGGACACCAACCTAGTCCCCAGAAGGCACACCTGTCCCTGGGGTTCTCACACCAGTGCACAAATGAGCACAGCTTCTCCAGTGACAGGGACTGCCGGCTCTCCAGCCCATCTCCAGATGCATGCCATGCTGTGCTGGCCATCCCACCTGGTCTAAACCACTGCAAACTGGGACTGGAAATAAGTCCAGGCTCTGCAGCAGCCACTAGTTAAACAGTGGTCATTGGCTGGTAAAACTCAAAACCAAAAATCAACCAAATAAAAAACCACAACCAAAACCAGACAACAACAACACCAACAACAAAACCAAAAAAAAACCCAAAAAGCCAAAAACAAACCCCAAAATCAAACCTCCCAAAAGCCCCCAAAACCCACCCAAAACCCCTACCAAACAATAAAACAAAACAAAAGAAAACAAAACAAAAACAAACCAAACAAAAAAAACCAACCTAATGTCCTCTGAAGATATTAGGAAAAAAAACTTGCCTCAATACTTAGCTAATGAAATAATTGAAAAATGGTGCATCTCTGTGTGAACAAAGCCTGTTTTGTTCAATGCAGGGCCATAAACCAAAATGTGATCTTGTTCCACCTGCCTATATTTTATTATTTACACAGTATAGTTCATTGCATATATATGCTTCACTGATTTTTTACAACACTGGACTGCATCTCCCCTTAAACTTCCCTCTTTACAGAGCAACTATTTTCTGCAAACATAAAGCAGCTCTTTCCCTGCCATTTTGTGGGGAAGGGGGAATAATCTCTTTTACCTCTGTGAGTTAAAGTGACTCACCAGCTACACAAGATGGCTACAATAGGAAAGAATGCACATCTTCTTTTTCCCTTGCAGGGCATAACCAAGGGGAAATTAATATCTCAATCTACCCATTCCCTGCTCTTTCAAGCAAGGGTCAGAAACTTGAAGTGAAAACTGAAAAACTGAGTAAAAAGCTCAATTCTTTACTCTAAATCGATTTCAGACTCAGGCTGTACTGCAAAGCAGTCTGTAGGCTGAAGCCACAAGCTGATTTGACCTGTATAGCTTTTTTCTCTTTTCTCCTTTTTTTTTTCTTTTTGCTTTCCTTTCCTTCCTTGGATGAATTCCTTCCACCTTTTTTTGGCTAAATACAATCCTAAAACAGATGTGACTGCCCAGCCAAGGACAATTTAGCCATGTAATTTGTTTGAAAAATGGAGGTTTGGGATTCATTTTGCAAAGGGGCAGCCTTGAGACAAACCAAAGGATTTGCTTTACAGCCTTTGCTCCCCAGATGAATGGATGGTGCCAGCTGCAATGCTCCACTGCTCAGGGCAGTGGGCATGCTGGAACCACTGGTGTGACACCTCCCAGGTGAGGCTGAATCTTGCCAAAGGTGAATGAAATTCTGTGTATTGTTCAGTGTAATCACTGCTCTGTGCAACAGGCTGCACAGCACAAAGGAGGGGAATCATTTATCCGTATATGATTTCTCTCCCAGAGCTGGGCTTTGATTGCTGTGCTGTGTGAGAGAAAGATCAGCACTGAACCTCCCAGAATGGACAATTCTGCAATGCTCACTCTGAGCTAAGGCTCCAAGTCCAGGAGCCTCTGGATCTACCAGCCTGCCTCTCTGCAGATGAGGGGGGGAAGAGGTAATCCTGTAATAGATGTGAAACTCTATTAGAAATGGAACAGAGAAAGCCTCCAGGGCTGTCAGCCATGGACTCATGGGGAATTATGAATCTGAACCTTATGGAGTGGACCTAGCTGGCATAAATTGACATATTCCACGAGAATCACTGGTCTTGCACCAGTGATGATCATTCTTGCTTAGAGTCCAGAAAAATCATTACATATTGGCTGAGCTGAAACTTCCTATTTTACATGAAGAACACAGATGAACAACATGTAACAGTGCTGGCAGCATCTCCATCTCTCATTAAGTTGGATCCTGTGTTCTGATACCTCCTGCAGTTGCTTTAGCTTTCCATTTCATGTCCCTTGCAATGCCTTCAGTCCCCCCTTCCCTTCATTCACCTTCTCCTTCACCATTCCCTCTGCTCCCTTTCTGGCTTTTCAGTGTGCAAGTGCACGGCAGCATGCTGCATGTGTCTTGTTCCAAGCCACACACGTTGTAGCTGGCCAGTGGCAACTGGGGGTCTCTCCAGCAAGGTGCTTTCTTTTTCCATAAGCCTTGGAGTTAGTGCCAAGTTAATGTCTTTCACACCTCTATTAAGTCTATCCAAAACTAGCAAATTAATTTGATGTTACTGGCAAGGAAGTGCAAAGAGCAACTGGGGGATGAAGGTAGAGACTGAACACGTAAATCTCTTTTTTTGTAATTAGGCTAAAAGCAGAAGTAGGTGGGAAAGACAAGGTAAAAGAAATTAGCTGGAAAATACAAAAGTGGAAAATAAATAAGGAGAAAGGCAGTAATTCATATGGTGCTTACTGCAGAGTAGAGAAGTGCATCTCTGCCACCCACCCAGTCAGATAGGGCTTGTGTTCAATTAATTCCTTTTGGAAGCAAAGCTCATCAAAGCCTCTTTACTTTGCACTTGTCCCTTGTCTTTCCTTTCCTTTAATGGCCCTGAAAAGCTAGACATCCAGCCTGCTATGCCTGACTTCTGCCTGTCTTCCCTGAATGAGCAACAGGAGGAACAAAGCAGCTCAGGGTTCATTAAGAGCAGTGCAAAGATACATCCACCAGCACTGAGCCACAGGCCTTATGTACAGAGACTCTGTCACACCTTGGGTGTATGCAGAGGGTAAATCCACTTCCAGGGCTGGATCTCATACTTCACAGAGCACAGTGCCCTGCACACATCTCAGCTCTCATCAGTCATAGTCTCCTTCCTCGCAGTTTGTGAGCCAGCAGTCAAAAATACACCAGAGGCTGATTTCTCAGCACTCACAGGTGCCACTGGCCCCTCAGAAGCTGCCCCAGCAGCCAGATAATGAATTACCCTGTCATCCTTGCCAGGCAGACACCACATGGGATGGTTGCAGAAGCAGGGCAAGGCAAGGGGAAAGAAGGTATTAGAATGGAGCAAAACAGTGTGGATCTGTGTCTGCACAGAGTCAGGCTGCCCATGTTCACCCAGCTGTTTAAGAGGGAATGGAAACTGCTTTTCTGGATCAGTTCCAGCTTGCAACTACCCATCTGCATTAGAAGCTCAGCTTTCCCAAAGTGTGGGAGACATGGGACGAAGCAGAAAACAGAGGCATCAATCCAAGATCTGCTTCACTCCTGGGAGCAAGTTAAATGCAGAAACCAGGGAGAATCTTCAAGCTGATGGGAAAAGGCCTTGTGCCTGGTAGCAGTTATGATCAGTCTCAGGTAACCTCGAACAGGTCAGGAAAGACAAGTGTCTTAGGCTGGAAATGGGGGTGTATATTCTATTTACCATCTGTCAGAGGTGGGGCAGTTATCCTCTGTTCATTGGGCAGTTTTCTTTATCTCTTCCACAACCAATCCTCCCTCCAGGAGAGACCTTCTGTTAGTGGGCCAGTGAGTGTCACTGCATGGCTGATAAAATTCCATCATCCCATTGGGAGATGCTCCACTCAGGGGGAGGAGCCAAGCATTCCTACCTGGATATAATCTGAGATTTGGAACACCAGAGCAGTCTTTTCCTGCTGGATTCCCTGAGGAGCAGCTTTCCTCTCCACTGAATTCCCAGAGGAAGACCAAACCCATCTACACCACCACTGGGCCTTCAGAGGAAAACTCCACCCTGGAGTGGAGGAGGATGGTGCTGGAAGAACAGGATCACTGCTCCAGCACAACCACAGCTGGCACTCCAGGAGTGCTGCAGCGACCATTTCATGAGACTGCTGACATCACCCTGACCCACAGGGTGTCAGGTTGTATTCTGACTCTGTCAGTTGTTGGGTTTTTTTTTTTTTTTTTTTGTACTATTGCATTTATTTTTTAGTTTTCCTAGTAAAAAAACTGTTATTCCTATTCCCACATCTTTACCTGTTTTAATTTCAAAATTAGAATAATTCAGAGGTTGGGGGTTTATATTTTCCATTTCAGAGGAGGCTCCTGCCTTCCTTAGCAGAGACCTGTCTTGTCAAACCAGGACAACAAGGAAAGAAGAGGAATGTGAAGGCAGAAAGAAATACTAAGGAAGCAATGGAGGGAACCATCAGCCTCTTCTGCCATGGGCTTTCACAGGGGTTGCACGGAGCTACTGCTGACAAAAGCAGAAGTTGTGGTAAGGAAGAACTCATGACTGAGGTAGGGCCAAACAGAAAAAAGCCCCTCAGATCAGAAGGTTCCCATGACTTCATCCTGTCAAGATTAAGGGCTGTTTCATCTACAAAAGCAGCTGGCTCATTTTACTGCAAGTAGGTGAAATTCCTGCTGTGCAGGACTAGTGTTCTGGTAGCTTCTCACAAGATCTGTACCATCACTGAGATGGCTTCTCTAATTTAAGCAGCCAAACCCCATCGTGTTTCACCTGCCCCTTCCCACATCTTGCACAGCCTGGCCTGGCAGTTCTGAACAAAGCACTTACCTGCAGCATATCCAGTCTGTGTTATTTTACACTGCACTGGGTGAGAGTGGGGACCACGTTGCAGAACATGAATTTCCCCATTCACCTACCACCAAGTTCAGCAAATTTGTAGGAGCATCTCTAGGTGCTTCAGAAAAACAACCTGTATTTATAAAGTCTGCTTTCTTAGATCTCAGACTTTATTTTCTGGGTGTTTAGCCTCCTTATCCAGGAAGGAGCCACTTTATTGCAGCCTATTCAAGACTGCAGTGCTTCTGAGTTTCACAGACCATTTTATATGTCTGAAAACCACACTGCATGGAAAAAATAAAAAAGTTTATCTGTTTCCAGAGGCCTCAAGGAAGAATCTTATTGATACCTGTTAGAGCAAATTTGTGTCTCTCTTGTACTGATAAAATGCAGCATTTTGTCCTGTGTCGAACTTAGAGACAAAATATGAAGCTGGGCCCAGCCTTAAACTTCAGCAATATCTGTGTGACTTTCTGACCCAGGGACTCAGAGAAAGCTTTATTCTTCTGAAATACTGAATGCTCTCTAGAAGTCATAATTTATTTCTTCCACATTTCTAGCTGACTGTCTCTTCCTATTGATGCTGATTTCAGTGGGGAAAATCTTTAACTCTGGACTGAAGATATTTTCTATTAAGTTGACAGCTCCAGGCTGGATTGTCTCCTTGCCTATGCCAAACTTGAACTGACAGGTATCCACAGAAATGCATCTGATCAGCGGTTTAAATAATGGGTTCATATTTTTAATATTACTCGCTCAACATTTCCCCCCAGCCTGCCCCCAGCTGGTGTGGAGAAGGTAAGAGTTGAGTTTAACTTTTTTTTTTAGACTTCGCTTTTGTTCTTTTTTTAGGTAGTATCTGCAATGGTATCTAGCAAAGTCCAGGGATGAGGCACCTCTGCATAGCCCCAGCAGCATCTATTCCTATCCTGCTGGCTCCTGCCTGCACAGAGGTCTCACAACAACAGAAATTTTGTCACCATCCAAAACGCTGGGAAACAGTGTCTCATAGATGAGTTCTTCTACAGCTAAGTGTTTGCCTTGCGGCAGCAGCTCCCTGAATAAACCACAATTTACTCTTCCTCACCGGTCTGGGCCGTGTCTCCCTCAGGAAGGATTTGAGGTCTCCCCCAGCCATGAGCTCCAGCAGGATGAAGCGGGGCAGGGCCTGCAGGCTCACCCCGATGCAGCGCACGATGTTCTGGTGGTTGAACTTGCTGTGGAGACAGGGACACCCAGTTGTGGAGCAACATTGACCCAAAAAACACAGTAGCAGAAAACATTCAAACCTTTTTGCTGCAGGGAATGTGTGGGGGTTTTTTTGTTGTTGTTGTTTTTTTCTGGGTTTGTTTTTGTTTTTTTCCCCAGAAAATAAAAAATCTCAAAGGTAGGGCAACTTGATAAAGCTTAAGCACTACCCCTGCATTCTGTGTCTGTCTGGACAGTGTAGGGACAGACAGAGGTGGGGAAGCAGTGGGTTTTGGCTGCTTTTCCTCTCCCTGTTTTCTGCATTCTTTTTGGGCTACAGCAAGACTTCTGGGGCATAGGAAGCAGAACGTGTCTGATAACAGAGAAAAGTCTGCTCTTAATTTCCCCATCCAAGAGGCAGAAGTTGGGCTAGGGCAATGTTGTTCTAAGTAACACACTGACATGGGGATCTGCTTCTGGGGGATGTTTCTTGAGGTCAAGTCTCCAATACTTCCTTAATTCCCCACCTCTCAAATGTGATGGGAAAGTGGTTCCATAGATTCTGTGATTCAGACACTGACACATGACATGACAGCATCATAAAGTCAATGCCATCTGTTTGTTTTGACTAGCCAAACTCAAATTCCTAAGGTATGTTCTCCTCTCTGAGAGAAATCAAAAAAATCTTATTATCAATTCTAAAATCCGGGCTTTAAATTTTTCACTTTGGGTAATGAAAACCAATGTGAATCCTTTTGAAAATTTAGCCTTTGATCATTTGGTGCCTCTTCATTTGTAAGAAGAACAGAAAAGGATGGCAGTGCCTATTATATTTGTGCTAAAACTACTGTATAGATGTGCTGAGATGACACCAACTATGAAGAACCTTTTTTTTCTATATTTTGTTGTGCTTTGCAAGGCTACACAAGTGGTGTTGATGTGATTCATACACACCTAATAATGAGAGCTTCCATGAGGAAGTCGAGCTCATCTTGCTCTGAACACACTTCTGGCAATGTCTGGAAAAGAAAGAACAGGTTGGCAAGGAGAAGATAGTTCAACTTACAGATTAGAATACCTTGGCACTAACATTGTCTGCAGCAATCCTCCTTTCTCAAAAGAAACTTCACTCTAAGACAACCACTAGAGCATTGCTAAACTAGACTGTGAAGCCTGTTGAAAGGTAAATATCAGACCTCCTGGCCCATCAAGGCCACTGTCATCCTCCTCCCAGCAAAGGAAATAGCCCAGAGTGCACAGAGAAGTGTTCAACATATGGGACTCTGCTGTTTAGAGGATGAGGAGTGAGATCACAGCTCCTGAGTTCTCTGCAGTTCAATGATCCTCCCTTCCTGCAAGACTGGGATCTATAACCAGCAGCAGAACTGTGCTGCTATGTAATCTCTAAGAGAAAACAAGCCAGCTAGACTGCTGAAGGCCTGGAGAACTCTACCAGGGTCTCTTAGGATTTAGCTTCACATCCAATGCATATCCATCCTGTAAGGGACAGGTGAGATCCCTGGAAAACCAGCCAGCTCCTACTTGCAGGGTCTTTGATGTGCCAGCAGCTTTTGGCCCTGTGAAGATTTTTGGACAGATTACCAACCAGGTGTAGCATGGGGAGGATGGACAGTGCATGGATTTAGCTCTCATTCCTGCAGCCTACTGTGGCTCTGTGGGAAACCTTTGCCTATTTACTATTCACAGTCCTCTTTTAGTAGTCTCACATACCCATATCCTATAAGCTGTACCATTGCTGTGATGGATTTAAGTGTTGCAACAGAGCAGCAATATTTCTAGCCATGTCCTTTAGGACTTATAGCAACGCTTCACTCATCTTCATTGTTATAATGCATTGGGACTCTTGGGTGAAAGGTGCATGAAACCATCATGATAACTCATTCACTGTCACTTACTTTCACAGCCACCTGCAAGGGAGTGGGGTCGCTGGGGATCCCTGTCACCTGACCTTCATATACCTCACCAAAGGCTCCGTGGCCCAAACCCCTGGACAGACCAGAGAAGACAAGAAGGTTTTACTACAGAGAACACACATTATAACACTGTGGACACAGCTCACAGGCTCACAATTTTCATGGCAGTGCAACAGGGAGAACTGGATATTGACAGTATGATCTCACCAGACCTTGGTGAGGTCTTTCATGAACCTACATTTTATTTAATTGGAAGGGAAAGCAGTCCATGGAAGTGAACATTCCCCAGTGAAATTGAGCTGCTGGCATTGCAGCACGTAACAGAGAGCACTCATCTATGGCTTTGGTATCAGTGCTCAGTGGTGGGTGCTCCAAAACAGATCAATAAAGACAGGACTTTAGTCTTGGTGTTTACACACCCTAAACACATTAACAGTTCCCCTGATATTTCTGCATCACCATTAAACAAAACATTGAGCAAGAAACTAGGAGGCACAATGATTCTCTAAAGACCTGAATTCTAAAGCAAATAACTTTTCTTGACTTATTGTGTGATTCTGGGCAAGCACCTTAGCCAGTAAATGGTGATGACAGTGCTTTGTAAAGCACTCAGCTCAAGGAATTTGTGCTGAGAATTGTTTCTGGCAGTGATCATGTTATGAAACGTAGAGTTTTATTTTGAATAAGATTACAAGAAAAAGAGAAAGGAATAAGAGTAATCATACAATAGAACCTGTTCCATGTCCTTGTGATACAGATTTTGCATACCTGTCTATTCAGTCCTCACTCTCTTAACATTAAGTCAACTGGTACAACAGCTATTTCACATCAGGGGCCTGTCACAATGACATGGTGAAATACAGCAGGGGATGAGGCTGCACCTCAAATCCTGAGTCCTTCTTAACCCTGCATGGGCTGCACTTTGGGCAGTAGCATTTCCAGCCTCTAAGAGGCATTACTGCATCTCAGTCTGGGGAAAAGGCTGCATGCAGTCTCCTGTTAGAGCCAGGTCTGGGCTGAGGGCTGCATTGATTCTGTTCTCTGCTCTATCAGTGGACTGCTTTTGCATGGGCTGTTGCCCTCCTGTCCCTATGAACAAGGAGGAACAATCAGGTCTTCTGTTCATAAGCTCTGTCTGTAGTTTTCCCAGGATAGAACCAGTCTGGGCAGTCAAACCACACTGAGGACTTGTGCTGCCTGTGACTCAACCACTTTGTGTAATAACATTTTGTAGGTATCAGCTTGAGACACCATTCTTGGCTCTGCCTGACCAACCTATTACATACTGAGGGGATAAGCCAGATCTTTACAGCTCATAACTCACCCTCCTTCCAAAAAGTCCACTTTCCCTTCCCTTGTCAATTCCCAGCTATATCCTCTGCTGTCTGCTTACCACACTTCAAAAATCCTTTCAAAGTCCAAGTGGCAAAGGGAGCAGCAGCACAGGGTACACTGGAAACCTCCAGGTGCAGTCCAGCAAGATGTGCAGGTAAGAGGGAATGAGATAAGAGGCAGCAAAACATTGCAGACTGCATAGACTGCTCTGAGCATGATTTTTTTTTCAGCACCTTAAGCTTCCCAATTTTCCAAGGACTCCTGCTTCTACTTTTTATTTTTTTTGTGTAACACTGCATGGTATCAGGGTACTGTCACATTCACAGGTATCCAGCAGTAGAGCAAAGTGCGTAAGAACTCAGAATATTCAAGTTTTTCTTAGGAGACACTTTAAAGCTTTTCAGAAGTTCTCATCTAGACATGATTATCTTGCTGGCTTTATATCCCTGTCTTTTTAATACTGTCTGGCATTTTCAAATCCATTCCTTTCCTTGCTATTGCACTTAAGGATGTCATTGTCTTTACCAAAGACCCCATCAAAGATTTAAAAGAGCTTTCTACAAGCTTCAGCCATCCCAGAATTTCATCAGCTCATGGCAATGGGCCATTCACTGCATAGCCTGTAAAAGATGTAACTGAATTACTGGTGATGACTATTCAGTTCTCCTCACAATCCCAGGAGATGAACACCGCACCTGTAGAAGGTCAAGGGGAATGCCAAAATCTAGTCCCCTCCACACGAGCCTAACTACTGCAGCTTTACATTTTATGGAAAGGGGTCTGGACCTAGAAGTGCACAGGAATTTGCACAGAGCTGTGCATTCACACCTCTCTAGGAGAGCTGGGACATGTGGGTGTACAACATGAAGGGTGGGGAAGGCAAAGATGGATTTACCGGATGAGGGAGATGTTTTTTCGAGGCACCTCTTTAAGGTCACTAATGGAGGTGGTTTTTCCTGCAAAGCAGTAGTTGGGGTTGTAGTCTGTCATGATGGTGGAGGTACGCAGCTTGCTGAGTTTGTACTCTGGGCTCTGCAGCTCCATCTGCATGGCTTGCAGCTCCTGGTGCTTGCGGCGATACACTAAACAGGAGAACACAGTTAACCATGGCCAGAGACTGCTTTGGGACAGCCCTTTTCACTGGGATTCACTGTGCTGTGGCCAGACTTCAGGGAATCAAACCAGCCAGTGACACTGGCGTATTTCTGTACATCAAATAATTACAGATCGAAAATGGGATCTGAAGATATCCAGGAACCTTTGATTTACACATCTTACAAAGAAACAGGCTTGCTCATGGACTGTCTGGAAAAAGTAAAATGAATTTCACTTGGAGACATCTCAGAGTTCTGATGTTGTTTTAATGCTCTATTTAACCAGACCTTCCAAATACAAGTCCAGTTTGAAACTTGTGGGAGGTGGGGTATTACTGAGTTTCCTAAATCACACAGAAGTGACTAAAGTCTGAAATGAATTATTGCATCACATTGTTCAAAATGGATAGCCTAAGCTGTTTCCTGAGAATAACACATTGTACATAAAAAATAGCCAATTTTCCAAAACTTCCACTGTTTCTAAACAAGAGAGGTAGGACCACATTTGAAGTCAGTTTATGATATGTTATATTCCTTGCATGATTTCACTGATACTTCTGCAACACCATTTAAAACCACACGTTGAAAGAAGACATCCTGAGGATATTCCTTGAAATAGTAACTGATATTGCAGGATTTTTTCCAAAAGAAGATGACAATCAGGAGCAGGTTAAATCACTATTGATTTCTGTGGGAGCTGGATTGAGCCCAAAGACTGTGACGGCAATAGTTATTGCATCTTCTCCAGCAGATGTTGCTCAAGGGAAAAATTGAAGGGGTAAACATGCACTTGCAAAGGCAGATGGATGTAATGACCTATCCACAAACCCTTCCTGTCCTCCATTTTCCTCCTCATTGCCTTTGCTTTGATTTTTTAAATCGTTGCCCTTTCCTGAGATGGAAATGATAGGCTCGTTGGATGGAAAGAGGATTACTCTTCCACTCCTGAGAAGTATTTAGTCATTGTAAAAAGGCACTGTCAGGACAGAAATCATAGATGTAGGACCATGTGCATGCAACTGATAACTCCTGAAATTCTTAAAACCGAAACAGCTGTGCAGATCTAATTTCCTGCTCTTGGTTCATCCCTCTCCTTCCCCAGACCACACACAGTGTGGGCAAAGAAAGGTGGCAAAGCTGTGGTTTGAATCCCTGACTCCTTTTCATTGATTCAAATCTATTCTGCTTGCACCAAATGCAGGTGAGTGAGTGTTTAAGATAAGAACATGAAAAGGTGAAAAATACCTTTTAGAATTTCAAGCAAAAATGCCAAGAACACCCACATCCTACAAAGGAGCAGTTTGTGAAAGAGGAACCTGTGTGAGAGTTTAAGCTTAAATGTCATACATTAAGAGATGAAATGTGTACATAGGCGCACAAATAAAGAAACTTTTAGGCATTAAACAGCACCAGATCTCACAAAAACCAGAAGCAGCTGTGTTCTGGCAGCTGCACAGTAAAACACAAAAATAGTGTATCTTTTGAGATGCAGTCAGTAAGTGAAGCCTCCTCGACTTGGCCACTGTGGTTAGAAACAACTACAGAATTCTGAAGATGTGTGTGGGAAGGTGTCATTAAATACAGCAGTAGCTCAAAACCTGAATCCTTTTGCCTCTCAGGGCCCAATTATCCCTAGCTCAGATCCAGCGCTCATACGAAAATATCTTTTGCAGAGAAACACTCACCTATCATGATTCCTGAAAAAGCCAAAATTAAAGCAGCCACCAATGCTGAAGTCACTACAGACAAGACCAAGGAGAAAGGGAGACGAACCACTGGCTCAGCTGCAACAGAAAGAAATTTGAAATTATCTTCCAGGAGCCACATTTTTGCCACCAGATTTTTTTCTGCTCATCTTTCCATTTACTCATCTGCTGCTCCAATAGTGTAGGAGCAACCTCTGGCATGACCAGTTCTCAGGATCTATGACTTCTCATACCTCATTGTTTCACTTTCCTCAATTAATATCAAGTAATTAAAACAGATGGTTCACTATCAATGAATTAACATGTGAACTCCCTGGGTGCAAAAACAAGACCATAAAAAAAATGGGCAGGAGGTTGGGGGGGTGAAAAGAACATTACATTGTTTGGGGTAAAGTGCTGCTATCAATGCCAAATCACAGCAAAACAGGAGGAGGACTGCAATATTTCATCTCCTAAATGCATGTAATCCAAGCAGAAAAACCTGATAACAGTGTAGTGAAGCTGCATCCTCATGTGGGATCATGCTATTAAGGATTACTTCACCTTGACAAAATGACCATACTTTTCACCTATCTTACAGGCAGGAATGGTAAAAACACAACACAACAATTTTCCCATGCCAGTGACAAGCTGAAAGCAGGATCCCAAACCCCTGGGGTCACCTGCTCTAAATGCTGCACAAGAATAGGAAGCAAACCCGGTAATGGAGCTCTGAGCACCTGGCTTTGAAAGAAAGGCAAGTACAGGCACTGTATTTAGTTTTTGTCAGAGAAACCTTGCACAGAATTTCTCACAGTTTCTGAACTTTACTTTAAATGTCCAATTCCTCAGGAATCATATTTTCCTTCACCTTGCTTTCTTCTTTTTTTTTTTTTTTTTTTTTTTTTTTTTTTGGTTCTTTAAAGAACTGGTCTGAAATTGAAGTTCAGCTGGAAAATTCTTTCGGTGAGCAAACTTTCAGGATTTCAGAGCAGACTCTGAACACAAGCACAAGCAGACACAAAATTTGACTCTGCTCAGATCTGCCCAGGATGCCAAACACATACTGTAGAGCAAAGCAGCACTGCTGCTCAGTGCCCCAGTCCTCACCATTGATGAGGCTATATCCTGGCAAAATAGCTCTGCAGCATACACAAGCAAGAAAGAAAATAAACTTCTACTGCAGGCAGGTTTAAGATTAGACAGGACTTTCAGGATGTCTTACAGTCTAAAGCAGAGCCTTTGGCCACACATTTTCTGTCCCACATGTTAGCAGTACCCCACACACCTACTTACCTGTGCAAGACACACCATCCTCTGCCAACTCGGTGCCTGGCTCACAAAAGCAAATGACTTTTTGAGTCTCAAGATCAACATGGCACTCGTCCATCTCACAGTGGCTGCAGTTAAGGTGCAGCCTAATTTCCACCTCTCCGTGCCCCTCTGTCACTAAGGAGTGGATGAAGAAGCTCAGTTAATTACTGTAAAGACCATTCTTATAATTTCCTTGGGTTCACCCTTTTCTTTCCTGGCCTTTAGTCCCTCCAAGACCAATCACTGCAATATCTTCAAAACTTTCTGGCTGAATCCACCAGGCCAGAGTGCATCTGCATTTGAAAATACTTCTGGCTGTTCTAAAGGAAACTTCTGTTTTTTTAAAAACAAGTAGATTTGTTGTTGTTTTCTGAACACATTGCAAACATATTAAAGACGCTGGCTTCTGGGAAAACACAGGTTGGAGTTGCAGTATTTATCACTCCCATGCACTGCTGGGCAGCACCTAGATATTTTACCAAGGGATGCTCTAAGGAACTTGCTTGCTGGTGAATAGTCAGATGTTTTGTCTGTTTCTTTCCTAAAGTATCTGAGCTATGAGGTTCTGTTATCACTTTCCTTGTCCAAAATTATTCTGTAGGCTGGTAGACTGTACTGCTGGGAGTGTTTCCTAATAGGCTTGATGTTTCCTCTCTCTGTTTTTTTCCTGCTACTTCTGTCTATTCTCTGCTGTATTTTATGTACTTTCTGCTTCCTCATGTTCATGACACTGAGCTGTACTCCAAAAGGATGTAAGGGGTCCTACTATTTTTAAAATGAAATAAGCCCATGAGAAGACCTCTGACCAGTATGAATACCTTTAAGTGCTGGAGTGTATAAAGTACCAATTGGATTAATAAAGGACACACCATCCTCCCCATCCATCTCTGGGTCATTGTCCACTGCAGCATTGCCACCTATGTCAAACCAGAAGTTACCTTAACAGACTGAGGCTCATAAAACAATAAAACACAGATAAACATGGCAACATGCATGACTTCAGCTTATTTAGGGAGGCATCCAAATGAAAAAAGAGAAAAATTAAAGCATTTAATATATAGGAAATATTTAGCAAGTTGTGGCACGAACTACTGGACTTTAGAACTTCAGTTTAATAATGAAGCTTGTGACAATCAATCAATCAATCAATCAATCAGCTCTGTTTAGGTAGAGTGGTGCAAACTAAGGCACAAACTTCATCTTTAACCATTTGGATGCTGTGAAACACACAAGCCCCTGTTAAAATTTAGGTAGCCAAGAGACTGGAAAGCACCAGTACTCCAGGGCTAAGTTAGTACCCTTGCTGATCAAGGCATGGACTGTGTCAGCAGAGGGGATGGATAACCTGATATCCTTCCTCTCCTTTGCACCCTGAAAGCAGGGTGGTCCACCAGGAGTGGGGACTGAAGGAATTTATGAGTTGCTCATTTCTGCTTGAGCATATGGAACATGTATGTAGAAGCAAAGTATGGGCAATAGATAACAAATATTAGAAACACATATATTTTGTACTTCAAGCATGCAACGATTCCCCCACCCCACCCAAAAATAGCTTTTTCCCTTTAATTGTCTTCAGTGAAATAAAAAAAACATAATGTGAGTCATTCTGTTGGAAAAAGAAGCATTACACAGGAACATTGGTACAAAACATGCACTTAATCATTTATACTCATTACTTCCTCTCAAGATTTCTAGTCTACCATATACTTAATTTAAGCTGTGGAGAACCAGGGGTTAAAGAGTCCACCACAGTGCAGATGGCTGCAGAAAGTATGGGGCCCAGGAGACTATGGGTTAGTAAAGATCTTGAATCTGGCCCACACCAGTTGTAATCAACATAATGCCATCTGACAGCTGCCCTGAGACACAGAGGCACATGAAATTAGCTCCTTGTTGACTGAAGTCATATTAAGAGGGGTGCTGGCAGCCTGAGCCTCTGCCCCCAGAGACCACCTGTGCAGGACCAAGGCCCACCCACAGCAGGGCAGGGCAGAAGCTGCATCCTTCCCTGGCATAAAGCCTGGCTGCCAGTCCCCAGGACCAAAGTCCTCCAAACAGAGGTGCTGGCAACAGGAGCACAGAGCTGTGGCTCCTCCTGCACTGTCACCCCAATGTGAAAAGCTCAGGAATCACAGCAGGATTTTAAAGTCACATTTTGCAGAGCGCAAAGCCAGGGCTGCAGCTGAAGGACTGGCCTCTGGCTCTTTGCTCAAAGCCTCAATGAGTTCATCTAGTGCTAAAAAGGCAACACACAGACATACTAGTACATAACAGTCAAATATGCTAGCTACAGGAGAGTTATCATCAGCATTTTGCTGACCATTAGCACTAAAGGAGGGGAAGGGACACCTTGAACACGAAGCCACTTTACCTATATATCCTCCGCCTCCTCCACCTGAGGAGCACCCCCCTCCACCCCCTCCGAAACCCCCTCTTGTCTCCCACCCCCACTTCTTCATGGCCTGGGGGCAGGATCTTCCTCCAGTAGCACCTTCCAGCAAGGATTTTCCTGACCACAGGAAGGAAGTGTTATCATTCCAGCCACCTCCACCACCTGCAGTTGAGAGAAGAGAAAAGGCACAGCCAGGGGTTACTTTTTGTGTAAAAAACACTGGAGGGATCTGCAGGAGAAGCATCCATTCAAAACACCTCAGCTGAAAGCCATCATCTGCACCTCTTTTCACCTACCATACATGCAAGGACAAGTATTTTCTGTAGAAAAGGTAAAAAGATATCCCTACCTACTCTCCAACCACTTCTTTCGGGTTTTCAGAGCCTTCCCCTTCTCTTTGACTAAAAAACTCTTGAAATAAACCAATGCCAATTCTAAAGTAGAAAAAACTGAATTCATTGTAAGGGGTGTGAAAACATGTCCCACTCCTACTCTCCACACCACTTACCAGTGATTCACTTTCAGCTCTGCTGCTTGCTCAGTCCAAGGTCTCTGCACAGAGACTTCTAGACATGGTGCAATTATTCTCTTTCTGCATAAGCCTGAGAAACTCTGAGTAAGTCCACACAGCACAAAACAGTGCAGAGACCAGAACAGTCACATTGGCACTGCAAACTCCCACATCAAAAATCAAACAACTTTGTTTATGAAGGTACTGTATTATTTTGGGAAAATCTAGCCGTTGTTATGGCTATACCATCTCTGATACCCTTGTTTATCCCAAGTATCCAGCACTGTGTGTAGCTTCTATTTGCATCTGTTATAACTCTCTGTTCCCCCTGAGCTGTATTTTCATGAGTTTTGCCTCACCTTCTTGTGAGGAGGAGGAATCTGGGAGTACCACATATTCACAAAGGTTTTCTCAAAAGGAATAAACTCTCCTTACCTGCAGCTCCTGAATTTCCATTCAACCCTGGAATAGAGGAATCATTCTCCAGTCTTTCTGGATGAAATGTGTCCGTTTTGGCCCTGTAGGCCCTGCCACCACCCCCTGCTGCAATTATCAAGGGGACCGGCTCTCCATTCTCCATCTTAACAAATTCAGAAATAAAGGCAATGTTCAAACTGAGTCAGACATGGAAATGGAAGTTCAGCCTCATCACAGTTAACTGCATGCTGCACCAAGCAGGCATCTAGGGCTGCTCAGCACTGCTCACTGTCATTGCATTATTTATGTACCCACACCCAGAAAATTAATGAATAGAAAATTAAAGAATTGTCCTACCAAGTTCTGCTACAGGAAACAGCAGTGTCAGTAGCTCTATGAATTGTATCTACCATGGTGATGGCTCTTAGAAGGCCTGTAATGCCTCATGTGATGACTCTTATCAAATGAAACAGCTAAGGAGCACTGCTCTGCACAGTGTCTCCCGTGAGACCAGTGTTTGGAATTAATATTGTCTCAGCTAGCACAGAACAGGAAACATCAGAGGTCCACAGCTACAGGACTGCCAACAGAAAACTTACAGGCTATCCTCAGCTTTCCCTGTCAGGCTAAATGTATAGCTGATGTCTCACATTCTACAAGGCCAGAGGTGAATGAAGTCCTGCAGAATTTGCCCTTTGCTGTAGAACTGTGCTTCAGCATCTCAGGTTTTATTGAAAAAAAACCCGAACAAACAACCCAGCTCAACCCATTATGTTTGCAAAGGATACTTCAAGCCACCGAAATGAGTGTGGCCATATTGAACAGCAGTTCAGGGAAGTGTGAAGGGCCAGCCCAGATCCTTGCATCTCTCAGGTGGAAATTAGGGATACCCAGAGGTTACTCTGTGGACCCTCTCCCTGAGGTGCATAAGGCATTTTTCAGAGGCAGGATGTGTGGATGCTGAAGGTGCATGGGGAGAGAGAAAAGGCGCAGCCAGGGGTTACTTTGGAAACTGTGTTTCCATACCTTAAATATGTAAGTGGCACCGCCCCCACCACCACCTCCTCCTGCCCATTCATTGACACTTCTGTTCACACGAATCTCTTCTTCAATCACGTTGTTCTCTCCAATGCAGACCTTCTGGATAACATCATTTGTCTGCAAACAGAAGACCAAGTCTGAATTCAGGTAAGAAACCTCCACTCCCTTGTGCACACAGAGGCCTCATGAACCCCTTCAAAGGGTTCATGAACCCTTTGAGGCCCCAAAGGCCTCATGAACCCTTCTACCATCCCAAAGCAAGAAACTGTCCTCCAGGGAAACTACATGACCTGAACCAAATGAATGCTCTTCTAGAAGAATCTGGCTTTTTGCCTCAACCTTCACCAGAAGAATTTGTTGCCATTTAAATGGAATTATTTTGAAGCAAGCTCAGTGCTGATACCTATTATCATGTAATACACCTCCATAAACTTTTAACATACAAAATGTAGCAGAATTTGCTGCAAATATTTTCCAGCACTAACAGTCTGTATTTCAGAAGAGGAGCACAGGAGTAACTCGGCAAGGATGTGCCTTGTCCTGTGCCACATGACAGCAAATGGCAGAGACAGAGAACCCAAGTTTGTTTACCTCATTTCTTGTTGGGTGGGCCAAGCAGCCCCTGTGTATCTCTGATGATCTTAGCAGCAATTTTACTGCAACGATCAATGCCTACCAAAAGAGCAGTAATCCCACCTTTGACTGCAGTGTTCCCCTGATGTTAATGAAAATACCTCACTAAAAAGCCCCCACATTTCCTACTTAGCATTTTTTCCCTTCCATCAATTATCATTGAACACAGTGAACTTTCTGTATTAGGCAAATCCCCAAATTCACTAACTGATTTCAATCACAACATTAAACCACCATTTATGCCTACTTTAGGACTATGACCTAACTACTCTTTTGGTTTAAAATTGGAGCACTAAAGTGCATGACTAGCAGGACCCTGCTGTGAGCATTTTCAAGTTGCAAACTTTGCTTCTAGCCTATTTTACTTTACAGGTTTTGTCTCAGTAACACTATCTTGTTATATTGCACGTATAATGCACACTGAACTTACTAAACCAACAACACTTTTAGGGGAAAATGCACAAACATTTGTTATAGGAGGATTGACCTTCTGCTTCCTTCTACTTTCATGTGTGTGTTTTCTTTTGGAAGAAGAACCTGATAAAAGCATACTCAAATTACAAATTATTCTGCTGACCACACCATATATTCAAAGTTGCGCTAGAGAATGAGTGGCATCTCTTTTGTGTGCAGACTTGCCTAAAGAACTAACAGTCTTCCTTTCCTTGTTTTTTCCCTCTCCTTAATTGATTTGGAGTTGGGTGGGAATGATTAATAAAATGACAAAGTCAATGACCCAAACGAACCACTAGATTACAAAAAAAATAATCCTTCATGGCAAAGACATAACTGATTACAATCCAATCTAGTAAAAGTCCCCTCTACAAGTCAATGCAATCTCTTTGCCTCAATGAAAGAATTACATTAGCACTCAATAAATTCTCACTAAGATTACAGTGGCCTGCAATTTAATGAGTCCATTTATTACCCTCAGCTGGAATTTCCTAGTTAAAGATGCTGGATGGACGTTTGAGTTAGGCTATTTCTCATTTCAAAAAGGCTTTATATTAATGGTTTGTTTGTAGATATGTGTAATTCTAGTTTGAACATTATTTACTTCAGCATCCAGCCTTGAGAACCCCTTTTACTTGTCTATATCCTTCAACCTTTCTCTGCTCGAACAGACTGCTAAGCTTTCATCTCTTGGATGCCAGCCATTATCAGCTGAGAAATGCACATCATTTAAATGTCCAGCTCAAGCCTGCAGGTGAAATTTCATAATAAAATGCTTAGTTTGCTCCATGAGAGTGTCTTACTCCCACATCCTCCTCCAAAGAATACTTAACAATTAATTAACTACTGTGCATGCAAATAGTGCCCATCTTTCTGTAAAGACATTTGCAGCAAGGGTTGGTTAATAACATAAAAACAAGGACTGACCCAACCATGATTGATTTGTCTTTCCTATTCCCCTGTGGAGAATAACCAAGCAGGCTCTGTGACGTGGGTATCTCTAGAGGTGCAGAGTATATGAAAATGGCAGGGCTGGGCTCAAAAATGGAACAAGGACAAAACCCTGCAAAATCAGCCCTGAAGACTGATCTCCAGAGGAATGGAAGGCAGGGTTGTCTTTTGTCTCCAAGCCCCCACACGGGTGCTCTGAGATACTCAGACCAGACAGGAACCTGTTGTGTATTATCAATGGGGCCCAAATGTTGAAAAGAAGCAAGCACAGGGACATGGGGCTTCATGTTCTCATGCTCTCCCAGTAAAACTAAAAAAAAGTATTTCTTGACTCCTATACCCCCAAACCCCTTGAGGACAACGTTTTTCTGTGTGAAAAGACAAAACTCTATGGACTGGTAGAAGGGATGCAGGCAAAACAGAAAGGCCATCACTTACACTAGGACAAGCATCTTCTCCTTGCTGTCCCACCAAGATATACAGTGTATCATCCTTCTGGAGGTCAAAAATTCCCAGCACAGACACTCCGTGGGACCGCACCATGGTGTTCTTCCCTCCTTTCCCACCTGCAGCTCCATAGCCTGAGATGCTGCAGGAAAAAGAAAACAAGAGGCTGCCACTTGAGTTGTCCCAGGCAGGTGGAAGGAGGCACAAACCCCTTTGGAGCACTGAGCATTTTGCACACCTGAGCATTTTGCATGGTGTCACAAAGCTGTTCTCCGAAGACCTGAGATTCTAAATAAACCTAAACCCAAAACCTGAAGACCGATTTTCTGCTCTGTTTGAATCTGTGAGCTTGTGTAGTTACAAAACAGATTCTTTCACATTGATTATTGGGCAAACACAGCTGAGAACAGAGTGAGCAAGCCCTTATAGTTTCCAGCTTTAATATCTGAAACACATCTTGTTTCCCAGAAGGCACATCCTTGAGAAGTTTGCAGCAAGGAAGAGAAAGAACAGAAGCAGGAGAGCTGGTAAAACCAGGACATATGGCTGAAGAGAACATTAAGCATGAGATTGACAGAGGGAGATTTGAGAAAGCAGACAGCATAACTGGTCCTGGTAGCATGGACCAGATGGAAAACAGCTCTCTTATTCCCAGGACCAGAGGAATACAGAAAGAAAAGTAGATGGAGATGACACTACCTGCAGTAAACAAGGAAGGCAAAAGCCCCCTGGCCAAACTCATGGTGATCAGAAACATCTCCCTGTCTCCAGCCAGGAGTGGGCAGGTTACACACAGGCTGCTGCAGTCTCAGTTCAGGCTCTGGGATTTTTATTTCAAACACTCAAGATTCAGAGGTGCTTGCTGTTGCTGCTGTACCCAAAGATGTGGCTGTAACACTGTATTTCCCATCTCCTCCCTCTCCCTTTCTAACAGTGGACATACTTAAAGCAGCTTTTAGCAAAGGATTTCAAAGCACTTTTAAAAAATCATGATAAAACACACATTTCTGTGACTAAACACAGAGTTACTCAACTTTCTGAGCAGGTGAATGATGGTACAGCAACCCAGTTTGGATCTGAAATAAGCAGATAAATCTCCACTGACATTAGTAGCATTCCATGTGCTTCTGTGAGAGCAAAATTCCACCTGGAGCAGGTAACCAGAGACTGCAGAACTCAAAAATGGCTCTCGGCTTCCTACCAGGCACAGCATAGGTGCTCTGCTTTAACACCTCCTTTCCTCCAGCACCTGGCTTCTCTCTGCCCAGCACAGTCCTGCCTGCAAACAGGCAGTGTCTCATAAAGCATATTAGATCCTGGCAATGTGACATGATTATGTTCATGCCACTGCTGATAACCAAAGCAATCAGTCCTCAGTTAGGCTGTACCAGAGCCAGCAGAAAAAGTGATGGACACAGCACTGGGCCACCCTGAACAGATGCTACATGAACTGAAAGCTGAGTTGATTTACTGTAGGATTTTGCAATGGCTAATGAGGTGCACTACCAGGCACAGCAAGCTGGCAGGGCTAATTGGCTGCCAGTAGGGGCCATACTTTTCCATGTAAGAACAGATTTTGCATACAAGCAGTGATATCAGAAAGTTCAGGAAACCCAGTCTGGCCTCACCCAAAGGCTGAAGACAAATAAAACCCACTATATTCAGGTGGCAGTCATTCCCTGTTCAAAACAGGTGCCACTATTTAAACAGTTATCTTGACTTCAAACCTAGAGAGGATCCCTTTCATTAGTAACACCTTTCTTTTACAGGAGGAAGGAAGCCATTTAACCATATTGGCCCTGAAGAAAGGTTCAGCCCATTCAGAGCAAGAACACAGAGTACCTCCCACTGCCTTCCTTCTTTTCTTTTACTATGACACTTGTGGGATCTGCAAAAGAAGCCCACACCTTCAGGAAGGGTCAGGATGTGCAGAGTGCAAACCAGGGCTGGAGAAAAACGTGCACCCTCACATCCAGGTAATGGGAAACACTGGAGCTAGTCTTGAGAGTATGAGAAAATGCTGTACCTAGCCTGGCTGACTCAGAATGACACTTTTTTGCACACCACTGGGCTGTGTTCTTGTGCCACCTTACAAAATAGAGAATAGAGCACAGTGGAAGTGATCACAAATGGGGCACTCAGCAAAATGGACCTAAACCTTTTCCTTTAAAAATGGAAAGAAGTAGGTTAAAGGATGGTGATGTGTAATTTATTACAGTCCACTTCTCTCATACTTGGTCATGAGACCTAGATGACCAGACCTTCTGAATGCTTAGAAGGAGATCTGAAACAAAAAAATATTCTTTTATAATGTTTAACTTCCTTGTTACACAATGTGAAGTCCCACAGGGGTGAACCAGAGCATGTAAAAACTCCAGTTTTCCAGTGTGGGCACTACAGTGTGTGGCAGCCTACCGAGACCTTCACAGCTGGGGTTTTCTGGGTGTGCCTGGTTTGTGCTGGCAGAGTTTTGTGCAAAATTGAGCTGTCTGTATTTTAATAACGCATATTCTGCCTCATGTTCACAAAATCAATATCCTTCTTGAGCAATTACCAGGAGTGTACATTACACAGTGTAAAACACACTGATGTGGCAGAACATCAGCTCCCTCCAGAGCCCAGCAGCCAGCAGGAGCGTTCTCTCCCTGTGTCAGGTGTTTCAGCAGTGCCCATCAGGAAAACTTACAGCACCCACACTGCAGCAGCACTGCAGGGCAGAGCTAAACACAGGCAGTAAGTCCAGGCTCTGGGAAGCCTGGAATTGATACTGCAACTTGACATTTTCCTAGGGCTATGCTATGCTGGCAGACTCTGCTGCCCCTTCAGCAGAGCAGAATCAGGAAGATGTCAAGTTAATTTAAGCCCACAATTGCCTCCTGCTTTCCCCAGGCTGTGAATTTTCTACTTTAGCCTTAAGAGGTGCAGAAGAGAATGTCATCCCTTTATATATATATGTTATGAACGACATTATACATCTATTATCTATACAGAACTTAAAAGTCTGTTAGGTCATTTATAGGATTTAAATAGACAAGTCGTGCCTGGAGGGCCCAGGGGTTGTATTGTGCAGCAAAAAATCAGCCTACAGTTGCACAGGAATTCTGGCTCTTCTTGGACTCTGATATTGAAGAAATGACAGTGCTGTAAGCTTTTGGGCTGTTTTGCCTCTTCATTTTTGGGCTGTACTTTATAACCATATTTACTGGATGCTGGTTCTGAAAAATTCTATTCACCTCAGGCAACTCCTTGTTGATAGCTGGGTAAAGTATCATTAATGTTTTTTGCATTACCATCAATCCTTGTAGGAATAGGCACTCAGGCAGAACTTGTGCCTAGCCCAGCCAGTTTCTCAAAACTGCTTTGCCCTAGACCTCTGTTAGAGACTGACACCTGGCCTAAACATTGGCATTCTTTTCCAATATAAAAGAAAAAAAAAAGAGATGCGATCAGAAAATTGTAACTGAAATTTGTTCACCTTCAATGGAATGTTTTGCTTTGAAATCCAAGACACCATCATTGGTTTCAATATGGAATGCTGCATGAAAACCACCTCTAGACAGTCACTAGTTCAAACTGACAGTTCTGCTTACAAAATGATGCATGCAATGGCTTCATGCTACCATTCAGATACAGTGAACTACACTTCAATTGAACTTCTTTCCCCAGCAAGAGCAAAAGGAAAAAATGATTGGTAAAAATCTGATAAAGTAGCATTGAACTGTATCTGATCACCTCTCTTTGAAAACAACTCCACAGAGGGATTTAAGTGTTAGAACCCTCAGTATCTCACAGCCTACCATTTAGGTGGCTGCCTTCCAAAATCAATTCTACTGTGGTAAGCCAGGCTTACAAGCTCAACTTGCTGTCTCTAGATTCAAAAAAGTGAGGATGCTGAGCAGAGGTTGTTATAAGCTGGCCCATAAGAAATGCTGACACATGATTGTGCCTTCCACAGCAAGTGAAGGGTGGGAAAAACTCATTCTGAACCCAGGGCTCCATGAATGCCAAATGGGAAATGCATTCCTCTTGGTCTGGGGAGGTGAAAATGCTTCATTTTCAGCTCCTGATAGAGCTCTCCCAACCTGTGACCATTCAGGCTAAAGATTTGCCTGCCTCAGAAAGTTTCTTCTCTTTCACCAAAATAGTTGCATCTTCCAGGGAGCAAATCTGAGATGGGGGAGACTGGAAACCACAGGCTCAGTGATAAGTAAAACCCCAGCAGATGTGGCCAAACTTCTGAATGTAACACTTCAAAACTGCCTGTTGTGTATCAGCAGCTTGGATCGTTCTGAACACAGATACATCATGCCAATCAGAGACAGCTCCCTTACCTGTATGTGTTGGTTGCTGGAACTCTCCAGATCTGAATGCCTTGGAGAATCCCTTCAGCTCCCACCACCACTCTGAGCTTGGAGTTCCTGTAGGCATCGTTGCACTGGCTCTGGGTGGGGCCATAGGGTCCACTGGCACCACAGGTTGTGAAGAGCCACTGATCTGAAAGGAGGACATGTGCAAAGTATGACCCCACACCCAAGGACCAAGGAGCTGCTCTGCTTCTTGGACCAAGAGCAGAACCTGGCCCTGAGGTTTTAACCCAAACAAATACCCCCAGAATTACTTTTAAAAGTCTCATAGTTCTGTGTGCCTCAGTATTTGACAGCTTTTCATTGACATCTCCAGAAATCTATCACAACAATAAACATAATTTTATTTTTCCTAAGGCTCAAAAAGGCAAAGAGCACAGAGTAGAGAAAAATCCAAGAGTCCTCCCAGTTTCAGGCTCTGCTCTCTGGGCTGTTAAGTGCTCATTCATAATCTCAAGGCTGGTGCATTCCAGCCCTTTCAGTTTCTAGAGACATATGGTTATTGAATTTATTTTAAATGGGAAAGTAACTGTTAATTAGATAAAAACCTGTAAACACAACACCATCACAGTGATTAAAACATAACAATAGATTAATTGAATTCTAAATAATTGTTTGCTCACAGGACACTCAAATTAAGCTTCAGAAAGCAAAACACCTGACTGGGGCCTGTAAAACAAGCATCTAGTTTCTGCATTTTCTAGGCCAGATCTGTGGGTGTAAATCAATGCCTCCCTATTACAGCCATTTTCATCAATTGGAAGCACTGATCCTGTACAAATAGATGTCTAGAACAAGGCTTTGTTAATTTGTGTTTCAAAAAAAGTCTAAATTTTAAAATTTGAATACATGATGGTGGCAATTATGTCCTTTTCCTTAAAGATTCATTTTAGGAGCATTGTAGTCCCAAGACCACAATGCTTTTGTAAACCCACCTTGTCCTATTTTCTAGTATATCTAGAATCTACTATATATACTACTATATATACTCAAAAATAAGATCTAGATGGTAAATAAGCGGAAAAAGCATTTTTTGTGAACATGACATGATTTATCAAACATACTTATTAATAATCTAATATTAACAATCTAATAAACTCTATTAGGTAGTTCTACTGCCATTAAAGATAAAAGATTTGGAATCTGAAGGTTTTTCTATAAATGATGTTGGTCCAGTCAGCCTTCCACAAGGCCTTCTCAAAGGGCACCATTTCTCCACCAGCTTCCACAAAAGCAATGCCACACATGCAGATTCCTTCAATGGTGACACTAAATAGTTCAGACAGGGCATTAATTGGGCTCAGCGACCAGGAGTTGGATTCAATGATCCCTGCAGATCCCTTCCAACTTAGGATGTTCTATGATTAGCTTGACCTGCTTCTTGGAATTCAGAGCTATTGTCTAAGCTGATGTGGTTTAGAAATTATGGTCTGCACGTGTCTGGATGAGCAAGGCCAAAGGTCCTACCACTGCTGTTATTGGAGACTTTCACCCTCCAGAAATACAAGAAAACACATTGGCTTAGCCAGAAAAAAAGGTCTGAATTACCTTTTCACAAACTAATCCTGAAGATCAGCTAAATTCCTTCTTACAAAAAAAGTTCAGTGAATGAAATGGATCAAAGTATTTGACAGAACTTTAAGAAATACAGTGACTGGTATTTCTGAAAAATGTTGGTAATACAGTGTTGTGCAAAATTACCACTCTGTAAAAAAATTTCCCCATCTAAGTACTGCTGAGAGAATAATCCCACCTCTCTGAAAAATCTACACCACCCCTTCTCAAAACTCCCCTGCAAGGGTCCTCTACAGCTTTTGTCACTGTTACTTGTTTTATTTACATATTAATTTCACTTATTTCTCCAATCCTTCTGCAGTGGGTGGCAGTATGAAATCTTAAAATTATTAGACAGCAAATGGAATAATTTTCCTCTCTTCCTGTGCTTCTGATGTACCCCCTAAAACAACAGGTAAGAGGGTAAAGGCGCCTAAGGAAGAAAGGTCTACAAGTTACTAAAGCAAAATGCTTCAGTAGCTCTGAACAGTTTGGCACCAGAAAGTTACTTATGTTTACCCTTGCAAAACCCACCCCAAACCCAAAGGAAAATCTCACAGTAGCTGGAAGATGAGAGACTCATTCTGTCAGCTATCACAGTGATTTAACATTGCAATACCCCAGCGGGTTTAGCCACCTGCACTGAAACATATGTTTAGTAAAGCAGGCAGGTAAGTGGAACAATAAGAAGCCACTTGGATGTCTCCAGTGAAATATCAAACATGTTCCCAAAGGTAGATGTGGGTGACCTTCAAGGAGACAATAAGCCCAAAACATGAGAGAATCAAAATGGAAAACTGGAAGTGATAAAACCTAGGACAGGCCACAGCATGTGCAGACTGCTGCTGTGGTTAAGCTTTACATTTCTGATTTAGTCCCTTGAAATAATACAGGTTCCTTAGGTATCTGCCTATCTGACCTTGGCAAACTCCTCTCTAGATGATTCCACATGTAATACACAGCACAGCTGGACCTGAAACTGGCTGCTCTTGGCTCCCACTGGGTTCCAGGGACTGGGGATCAGTGAACTACATCTTATTCCAAAATGCTTTGAAATGGCCCTCTGGTTCCCCAAAAGCCCTGGTTGAACAGAAGGAGAATGTCCTTCTGCTGTACACCTTACACCTTCAGACTCTGAACTGAAGCAACCAGAACAGCTTTTGTATTTTCTGCCTTTAGGGCAGACTAGAGGGGGCTCACTTGCAGTGCAGAACCAGTATCAGAGTAAAGGCAGACATTGCTGGCAATTTGAGATTAGTCAATCTGAGTTTTCAGAGCTTGAGAGGATGGGGAAAGAAAAACCACAGATATGTTATACCAGGGAGTACAATGGAACCTGGAGATGACTGAGCACAGGAGGTGTTATCTTGGGTTTCTGAAGTGGTCCTGTTGTAATGGATACAGTGGTGCATACAAGATTGTCTGTAGAGCCTCCCAGATTCTGCAGGTGCTGCAGCCAGGACTAGCAAGAATATGTATTTGCTTTATTTAGGTAGACAAGAACAGGAAAACGTGTTTCAGAACTAGCAGAGCTGGGTAGTTATCTTTGCCCAAAACATTGCAGCAGGAAGTCTGGCCCAAGTGAAGTCCATGGAGAGACTGCACCTGATTTAAACCAGCAGGGATTTTAGTAAAATCTACAGCTGGGTGTTGCATGATCTCCTCATTTGTCATTGCTGCACTGATGTGCAAACAGCCCTACTCCTTTTTATAAATACTGAAAACCAGTCCAACATGGAACAACTTTGTCACTGAATCAATGGGACATAATATGACACAGGAAGAAGTTTCCCCTCATTTCAAGATAATTAGGACAGATGGATCTTAGTTACAATTCTGGATACAGACTTAAACTCCCACACTTCCCCCCTCCCCACCATTTCACAAAGCCAGCTCTCAGTGTGCAGATACAACAGCCCAAGAGCTGAAACCTCTAACCCAGCAGCAAAACAGAGCACTGCCTGCCTTAATAACCCACCACTACTTTCTTAAAAGTAAGATTTCACTCCATGCAAAGTATTGATTTTCTCTTGATTCTAGAAATGACTGCAGCATGTCTTATGAGCTTGGAGAGAGCATTTCTACAGGTTGCTGCATGCCACAGCAGTTTACAGTAATTCAGTTTGAAGCATTATTTTGATCTCCAAAGACTAAAGCAGCAGCACTGAATCGAAAATCCTTAAGTAGCTTGGTGAGGAGCATAGATTTTTTCCCCTCTGTGAATAGCTGTGATCTGTTTCATAGTGCACAACACATCCCTCCTTCCTCCTGCAGTGTGTGGCAGGATAACACTGCCAGCACCTCACACACTGGGGGAAAAACAGCAAGACTTTCCAGGCTAAAGCTCCCCAAAAACTAGCAGATTGTGGAATTCTGCCCAACTTCACACAAGTTACATATACCCAATGTTCAGAAACAGCTCAGCATTCCTATGACAAAAAACAACAGGCAGTTTAATGTAGGGTCCCTGTATATTCTGCAATTGGTAGTTGCAAGATGCTACCCAGGTTTAAAGAATGGAAATATCTGTTTGAGGTGGAGGGGGAAAAAATAGTGGAGATTCAGATTGGAGTACTACATTTCAGTGAATAATTTATACATCAGTTCAATTTAGATAGAATCCTCCCTTTTAAAAGAAACATGGCAGAGGAAAGATTAAGTTTCTGCATGTTCACCCACTCACCTGCCCTCCTGCTCCCTGGCAAGCTCCCCAACAACTGGCAACGTCCCAGAAGCAACATTTTGCAAAAAAAAAAATGTATTTTTGGCTCTATTAAAACAATTGAAAAAAATTTTCTTCCTTCATAACTTTTCTTTTTGTAATGAATTCACTGACTGATATATTTACACACACAGTTGCTCATCCTTTTACACAGCAGAAATTCTAGGTTTCACACAGCTTGTCTGGGTACATGAAATGCACAGCAATCAAGGTGCTGGATTTCAGCCACAGCAAGAGGGGAGTAATGTCCTGCTCTTGGAAAACAAAATGAACAAAACCCCACAAGACTTAAAATGACTGATTTGTTAGAAGCTCTGATACTACTTGCAGCCCTAGGCAATGCTGCTGCAGGCACTGCTGCAAATAACAACCAGCAACACTGAAGAGAAAACCATGGGACAAAGCCTGAGGCACATTTGTACTTCTAACATGGAAAGCAATTTCATTGGCACGTGTACAGCTCACAAACTCCATGCCCCAAAACAGACAGAGGCATTCTGGCTATACCTCAAGGGTCTAAATGTATTAGCTGGCATTTGTCAAATCAAGCTGGTTTGAACCTGGTTTAAACCCACTGCCAACCAAAACTTTAGTGATTTGAGCAAATTGCCAACCAAGCACCATGGTACTTGGCTTATTTTGGAACCTAGAGTAACATGTAAGTGAAATGCATCAGTGCTTTAAAATAGTGTGTAGACAGTTTGTGTAACTTGCTGTGACAAGCTCTATTCAGACCAAAAGGCCAGTCCTACTTCCAACAGAGTAGAAATCCACATTCATGAGGGCTATAAATTCTCATGTTTCAGAAGCATAAGAACCCCAGTGGCTAAACTTTTGGATACTATTAATTCTTCCTCACAGAGTCCATTTTACCTCTTCGTCTCAGGCAGATGCCATCTAGCTTGATGCCACGACCAAGTGGAATGTTTGCTTCATCTATTGGTAAAAACTTCCATAAACTTCCCTTGCCTGCCAATATTTGGCCAATATGGGAAATCAGGGGCTTACAGGAAACTGCCCACCATAATCTTCACTAACATTTGTCTGCCACTGGCCCCATGGGTTGTGTGGAGAGCTGTAGATTTTACTCAGTGCATGAGCAATCTCAGTTATGCATTACCGATAATTCCAGTGGTCCACGCTGGAAGCCTGTAGGCAAAATACACTACAAGCATACATAAGAAACATGCTCAGTGAGGTAAGGATTTCAATTTTGCTTTGGGTTCTGCCATTTAACAGTGTTCTGTGAGCAGTAATTGGAGATTATTACCTTTCCCAGGATTGAATTTGCCAGAGATTAATGGGGCAGGGGTTGAAAGATGATGGTAAATGGCAGAACTAGGTTGTGCTCACAATCACAGTCTCATACCTGTTAAGTGTGCCTACAAAATGCTATTAAGGGGCTATAAAATGATCATAGAAATTAGTGAGTCTTGCCAGCAATACAAGAACCAGTAGACTAAGAGAGGTTAGCTTTGGCTAGACTAAGAGAGGTCGGCTTTTCCACCCTTTCTGGAGTTACTATTTCTATCTTTATTTTCTGAATGAGAGCAGCAGTGGAAGACTTGGATAGGTCTTTCAGTTCAATAGGAGGAGCATCTGCAGTGATGGCAAACATATGCCTGATTGATACTGAGTATTTCAGAGAAATACTCAAATTTTGATACCGAGTATTTTGAGAAATACTCAAAAGCTTGATTCATACTTTAGACTTTTCTCAAGTGTTTATAAATAAGGAACAGTCTCAGGGCATTCTTGTAGGAAACTGTGGTCAGTGTAAGAGGGTAAGAGCAGTACTGATTCTGGACAGCAATGACAACGCCTTGTTTCTTGCCACCTTCTGAAACCAGGCACTAACAAAGCAGCATGAAGAAAACAAATTTCTTTTCCCTTTTATGATTCACAAAGAGTCTTCCATAATGATACATGCTAGCAACCTTTTTGGAATTTCATATTGCTCATAATTACAAAGGATGGTAGAAATGCACATTAGGTAACAAAGACCAAGTTGGGTGGAGGTAGAAAAATTATTTAAAACATTTTCTGAGATTTACAGCAGTTTCTGTATAATTTAAACTGCCATTCTTAAGAGTGAGCAGCTTTAAAGTGTAGGTCTGAAACCTGTGAATTGCCCTGTTTATTTCAAGTGCATGATTAACTCTGGAGAGCAATTATGCCAATTCAACTTTGCTAGGTTGTATCTGGTTGCATGCTGATTTTCAGTATTGCACCGTTGCTATTTTCAATCCTACAGAGAAAGCAAGTGTAAACACTGCAATGAAGAAATTCATACCTACATATTGTGAGATCCCACTGTTGTGTCTGAACATCTCCATCACTGTTTAGAATGCTACATTTGTTGGGGGGAGGGCACTGGGCTGTTATTTACTGTGTTAATTGATGCATAATACAAAAATGCAATTCTGCAGATACCTTTATTGCATTATACCAACAGTTCAGTTAGTATAATTGCATACAAAGAGCAACCAAATGTAATTTTCTTTTACTTAATACTTGCTCCGCTGTCCCTTTCAGCTCCTTCATCTGATTAAGTAATGTGACTGAGAGTTCTTCCGAGAAACAGCCATGGAAGTGCTCAAAACAGGACTCTCCCTGATGGAAAACACAAAATCTGTGCAACCACTAAATGCTGTGGGGAAGAGACTGCAGGAAAACAGTATCCCAGTTTGGGTAAGAAAATTATTTGATGGCAGTTTCCATGCATGAAATCAGGGCTGCACAATGGCTGGTGGATGTGCAGAGCAGAAGGGACAAAACAATGCAAGATTTGAGGGGGGGAAAAGGTTAATGTTTTTGCACATTGCACAACATGCCATTTTTGTACTGTGTGCCCTGACATGAATAAGTTGTCAGTGGGACAGAAGAGAAGCTGAAACATCAAAAGAGAGGCTATCCTCATGGTATTTAAAGCCTATTCAGAAGCACTAGAAATCTTTAATTAAAGCTTGATTGCTCTGTGTCTTGTTATCTCCTTTTGCCTACTGAGAATCCTATTTTGTCTCCTTCAGCTTCTGTGATAGTAATTTGTTTACCTCGAGTTCCTCATTATTGCTCACTGTATCTTTAGATGCCTGAATTTCCCATATTCTAGCCTTGTGTATAAAAGGAAATTGCATTGGTTTGATATAAATTGACTTTTTAATTGGTAGTTGAATGATAGTATGGTTTGAGAAGCTTTCAGTTTTACTTAAACTAATACCTAACCAATTTAAAAGCAAAGCCAAAGTAAGCCCGGATTTACAACAGAATAAACAGCACTCAGCCTTTTGTACAATTTAACCATCTCAATGAAAAATCCTGGTTCCATTAAAGCTGATTCAGTCTTCTGGCATATGCAGACCTTGTTACAACTGTTTTTTCAGGCTGCTTCTAGAATCAAGTTTCACCTGCAACCTTTCAGCAAGAAGCTGGTATTCCAGCAAATAACACATTATTAGTTAACAGAAAAGGAAAGCATTTGCACTGCCCTGTGAACATCTATCCAATGGCCACCTTGCACTGCAAGTAGCTGTTCGATCTGAAAACCACAGGAATGTTTCTGTGCTGGTCCTGGTCATCAAGGAACTTGAGAGAGCAACAACACCACATTACTGTAGACATTTCAGGTCTTATTCTACCTGGAGTGTTCATGATCCCAGTGTGACACACTGCAGTGGGTAACACATTTCTGGAAGCTTTAGGGTGTTTGACAGTGTGGCTGTATGGTGTGTTTTGAGTCTCCAGTGTGCATGGCCTGGACGTCCTCTGAGCCATGACCAACAGTGGCAAGGCTGAAGAAGCAAGTCTGAGGGTGCAGGGCCTGAGAACAGAGAGGACGGGGGGCTGGTGGTGCCAGCCATCAATTCTGCTGGAAATGCATTTCCAAGCACAGGCAAAAGCAGCAGGTATGTATGTAAGAGGCTGTGCTCAGATACAAAGGAACAAGTGGAGGGCCCTTGCCCTTGAAAACAAGTGAGCTTGTTTGGATTTAATGTTGTGTAAATAAAGTGTTACCTGTCTTTCAGGCTGTAGCTCCTGCTGCGAAGGCCGAGCTGGCCTGGAGACTTAGGGAGGGCATTTTATTATCCTGTAGTCTCATCAGCTTTAGGAGCACAGTTCTTTGTTTTAGTAAGATTTCTTAAGAAGGCAGTATTATAGTATGTGATCCATCACACAAGTCAAAGATCCTATTAACTGTAATTACTTTTAGCTGAGCTCATACTGGTCAGTGCAGTCTTTGGGACTTCAGGGTGGTGCTGATGCTGTTGGTTCACTCACACTAAAGTAAATATGTGCCCATCAAAGGAAAGGCCTTCTCAGAATCAGCCTGAGGTTTCTTAAATGCATTACGGGATGCAGAAAGAAACAAGATTGAAGCTGGGTAAAATACATAGCCCAGGGACCAAACCAGCATCTGCAGTGTTTCCTGAGAGCAAGCAGGGGCTCAGCAACACAAAGGGAAAAGGGAATTTGGTGCTGCAGAGACCCTCAGAAATGCAATGACTTTCACTGCAAGAGGCTGCCACTCAGCTTTGCTGTTTCTGCCCTGTCTACTCTGAGGGCACAAGGGGAGAAAATTGCTGTAGGAGTAATTTCAAACCCCAAGGGCTAGAGACAATTTTAGACAGAATATGAACAAGACCAAGGATAAAGCCCAGAAAATAGGCAAGCTGTTTTAGATTGAAATTGCCTTGAATTTTCACCCCAAGGTCATCACAAATTATTTTAATTGCTCAAAGAACCTCAGTGACCTTCTCTTCTACCCTCATGCAATCTGATTCCCTTTATTTCTACCATCCAAGCCTTTCTTTAAATTGAATTCCTCAGACAGGACAGGGAGCAGAAGAGCTAGATGATGTCAAGTCTAGTGACAAGTAGGAAATAAAATTCTCACAAAAATTTACAGCCACAGGATTTCTAGCCCACGCACACTTTACATTAACTTTGCATCTAAAATCAAATGCTTTTTTTTTTCTGTTGCTAAAACAGAAGGTACCCTGGAAGGCAATGTATAGCTGCCTCAGGAAACTACATCACCACCCACAGGAAGTCAGCCAGAAATCCATAATCTACCCCTGCCTACAGATCCTACCATGAGATCACTGACCCAAGGGCAATACTGAGAGCACTTAAAAGACAACTCCACTGTTTCCAGGGCAGGAAACAGAGATACAGATATTGAAGGGAGAACTTCAAAAGATCTTCAAAGAGAACATATAAAGATACTTTTGTAAATTATACCTTTGTGACAGCCCAGGCTCACACACAGCATCTGTAAGAGAGCTAAACACAACCTTTATGGCTGAAGTGCAGCTTCACCCAGCTCAGCACCCTCTCCTATGGGCTCTTTGCCTCTGTCTCACTCCCTCGCGGCTCCTGGCAGGGCTTCTGCACTTTTCTTGCTGTTTGATGCTCAGCACATAAAATATCAGTAAACTCCATGTGATGGGGACTCAGCTGACCCTGCAGGCTGTCCCTCAGCCTCTGCTGCCAGAGCTCAGGCAGCACGGGGTGGGCTCATGGATCCAGCTTTTCAGGGAGGCTTTCAGGGCTCTGTGGGGCTTTTGGCCACGCTGACCAGACTGTTGTTAGCATCAGAACTAACACCATTACTCCACACACCTCAACAGAACACTGCAGGTAGCAAAGTGAAATACAGACTAGAAAAGAACAGATGCAAAAAACTCTTCTTAGCAGAAGAGTGGGAGAGAAGGAGGCAGCAGGAACAAATCCTTAGGCTTAATGACAGGGAAAAGGAGGCATTTATCAACCCTGCTCTCTAACTTAAGAGGGGAGGTATTTCAAATTGGCAGGTAGCTGCCCTAAGTGAGGAGAAACAGCTGCACACAGTGCTGGGGGTTGCAGTTCTTACAAGCCCTTGTCTCTCCTGCAGCCAGCCCTCACTTCCATGGCCAGCCCTGCTGCCCCAGGCAGGCTGGAGGTTGTGGCTGCTTGAACCTGTTAGGAAGAGAGGCTGGCAAGGAGGAGGGAAGGAAGCCAATTCAAATGGAAATGCAGCTTTGGGACCCAAAACAGATATTGTGGATATGTGGGAAAGCCTGGGGGAGGAGAGAGGGAAACATTTGGGAGACAGCGATGGGAGCACAGTTAGGTTGGAAAGGCTGATTAGGTGGGAAGGGCTAATTACAGTTAGGTTGGAAAGAGGAGCTGAAGGGTAAGGGAGAATAAAGTAACATGAACATACAAGACTGACATTTCCAACTAAGTCCAGTACTGTACTGTTTCAAATGGACAATGAGTATCTACTGAAAAAGTGAGGCTATGTTAGTTCAAACCAAGTCTGTATCAACCAGAGTTGGGTGTTCAGGTTAATAAATGCTAAACTCAGTCAATTTGGACACTTCACTTTGATTCTGCCCATTTTTAGATGACCATGACACCAAACACACTTATCTTACAGTTTAAACCCATGTTTTACTTCAAGGGGCCCTCTCTGGTTCTTTGACCAGCTGGCAGCCTGTTACAGTTAAAACCAAATTACAGTTAGCAGCTAAAGGTAATCTCTTTCTAGAGTATGTTTGTTTTATTTGTAAGAGACTTGAGAAAAGCTCTAATCAAAGGCTTTGGGGGAAAAAATGCATTTAGCCACATTTAAATGAAATCTGTGCTAGTTGGAAATCTCTCCTGTCTGATGATGCTTCTCAGACAGTTACCTGCTGGATCAGAAAAGGGGGCACTGCTGAGCTGGAGATTTCCCAGGAGCTTTTGTTCCCATCCAAACTTCTTCTGGCCACCTCTACTGGTGAGAAAATTGTTTGACTCTGGAGTGGTACCTCGAGGTGTCTTCTCTCCACTGACTAGAAAACAAGAAATCACAGATTGGTTTATGGCTGAGGGGGACTGAGTCACTATGTTACTCAAAATTGAAGCTAAAATAAGGGCTGGAGACTTCTGTGCTGAGAATAAGAGCCTGCAGTCACAGGATTTAACATTATTAAAAGAAATGAGCAGATTTACTTTCCATTGTTGTTACGGAACTGAGACAAAAGGAAAATAAACAGGAATGAGTGATAGGCAAAACATTAAGTGAAAGAAGACACAAAGCAGAAATACAGAAGACAATCTTTAGCAACTGTTATAAAAAATTTTTTAGCCAGTAAAAGCAGGAGGAATTTTCTTTAATTCTATCCTAATTTTGAGATCTCTTTGAATACTGTAACTTGAGGTATATTGCACTTGTGCACAGAACCCAAGAGGTATTACAGCATAAATGGAGAGACTCATGCCCCAGGCAATGCAAATTAACGTAACACAAAGCAGATGAAACATTCTGACTGCAGAAGTGGTTTAGAGGTTTTCAGTCCAAACAGGGCTACAGAGGTTGCAGCTCCAAGCATAGGAGAAGAAAGGATGTGCTCAAGTTCTGTTGCTCAGCCCAAGGCAGAAGTTTAATTTGTTCAGAGCAGCAATTCTCCAGCCCTCATGTAAGTTGTTGGTCTGAGGTACAGAGTGACAGATCATTGAACACATTTACAAATTAAGCAATTCACTATGCATGAGATTATGAAAGATGAGTCAGACACAAATGTTTAATAAAAATCTACATGTGCCATCAGAGGTACAGACTGGGCATATTCTAGAGGCCAGTCAATCACAAAGCCAGGATCAGAATCCAAATTTTTCCCCAGAGCAGTAGAGTGTGAAGATCCTAGTTTCTGATTCACACTTAAATGCATGTCAGTCCAAATAAAATAACCTTGTTCTAATTTAACTGGAGTATTGTGCCCAGTGTTATTGCAAAGTTAGTGTCAATCACAGGATGCCTGTCTTTTCCCAGCCAGTGTCCAACTGTCATTCATTTTGATAACTGACACACAGCAAACCAGGTCATGTGGAAATCTATAATCACACACTGGCTTCTGCATCAGCCTGGCTGGACAGGTGATGGTTCTGCCTCAGCTGGAAGCTGATCTCCCACACCCTGTGTCTCACTGCCCATTCATGCCAAACTGGGAACTTGCTCCCTGCCTGGCTCCACCAGTAAGGGGTGCACCTGACCGGGGTTCCTCTGCCTAAGCACAGTGATTTCTGACACAGACCTTTGCCTTTCAAGAGTCTTTGGAGGATAATGACACCCAGCCCGTTCCCCACAGTTCCCAAATTTCAATTACATGGCAAATAAAAGACAAGTCACTTGCAGATAAAAGGGAAACTTACTTGTTAAATAACAGTCCAGACTAAGGGAGACATTGTCAAAAGCAATAATGGCATCAGAGCCTTCTTCCCATGAAGCGGTGATCTGAAACCAAAACCTGCACAAATCGGAAAAAATGGGATTAAATTCTGCTAAAGAACATGAAATTCAGAGCTTTTCACAATTAAAGCAGCTTTTAAATGGTGGAGAAAAACTTTTCACGTATAAAAATATTAAATTGATAGAGAAAGTATCCTCACTCCTAGCAAGGAAAGATGATCTGAGGAGGGGAGCTATTCAGTAATATAGGTGGAGAGAATAACAGCATATTGCCCCTCTTCCCTCCAGACAAACAGCCTGAAGAAGCAGAAGTGTGTGTATGCATGTGGTCAGAAAACAAAGTCCCCTGGATTCTGGTACAAATAAAAGCTCAACCAACTGACCAGACCCCTAAGAGGTTTTAATCTCACAAGTGATTTACACCCTAAAGTGCTAAGAAAAATAAGTAGGTAGGGCTCTTGAAGTAATTTGGAGCTCCTAAAAGGAACTGGCAATCAAAGGCTGGACCAATTTTAGAAAGTATTTGGTGTTGATGCGCTCTGTAGGAAGCAAAGGGTGTCTAACAGCCCTGGCAGTCACAAAAGAGAGGAACTGACACTGGGTAGTCCACAGGAAGAGCAGAACTCATTATCTCCTTAGAGAAGCTGAGGAGATTCGCCTTAAATCACTTCCTGATTTAAGGAAAGCTGGCTTCTGCTGGGAAGTTATGCCACTCTTACATTACCAGAAGAAAAATCACTGTAAATTCACTCTCAGTGATATTACAAGTCAACAGGAAGAGCAAAAATTACCCACAACCAAATACTTCAAATCTGACAGTATACTGACCACACATTAATTGTGTTTACTCATGGATTTAGGTTTTCTCTTAGCTTAGCAAGTTCATGTTCTCTCGATGCATATCTGCCACATAAAACCGTAATACTCTGCTTAGGAAAGAGAAAAATTTCTGAAAGCAGCCAACCATAGCTGAGCAGTCAGATACAATGCTCAGAGGTTGCATCAAGAATATAAAAACATGAAATGATCACAGGATGTAGAACAAGCTGCAAGTGAATATGAAATATTATTTAAACCTCATTCTCTGTTGTATCTTGATGTTTTACACCAGCAGAAGTTAAACCATTCGTGGGTCTCTTTAATGTAGATCTATTGCTGGTGCTTGCTGCTCTATATTTTAGAGATAAATGTTCAGTCAGAATGTGAATTCTTGCAGGTGCTTCAGTTCAGACAAGAAAATGATGACAGAACAAGGTATTTTTGAGGAGCACCCCTATTTATTTCAAAAGGCTTTAGAAATCCTGTCTCTTCCTTGCAGCAAGAATCTAAACACTGGCAGAATTTTTTTTTCTTCTCACAGACTCTAGTCCTTTCTGCATGGCACTGGGTCTAAAATATTTTCGCTCAGCTTTGTGTATGTTATTAGCATTCCTACATTAGTCTTGGTGATTCCTACAGTTTTAAAATATACCTCTCCTTTACCAGCAAGCCAACCTCAAAACCAAAATTCTAGTGAAGCTGCCCTGGTCATGTGCATATTTACTGTGGGACAGCATATTCCTGGGTTTTGAATGTGGATTTTGACTGAGACTCCTGTCAGCAAATGTAACCAACTTCCACGTTGTTCTCCAACACAGAGCAGCTTTCCAGAGGGGACAGTGAGGTTTGGCAAAAGCTAAACCAGACCCCAGGGATATTTGTGAGGATATTTTGAGGATATGTAGATTGGAGTGTCATCATCTTCTGCAACTGGTGTTCTTGCTAAGCTACAGCTGGGCACAGAGTCAGAAAAGCTGACAAAACCAAAGCAAAAAACTCAAACCAGGAAAAATTCCTGTCAGCCTCCAAGAGGTACAAAGGGTTTGGAACAGACCCTACTACAGAAAATATTTCTATAGTTATGATGTTTCTCCTTCTTCATTTCTGGTAAAGAAAAGCAACAATGTTCCAACACTAAAATTTCTCACTCCTTGGAGATATGCCTTGCACATATGGAGAGACTTCACTAAAACTGACTTTTTGTGTTCTAAAAGACATGAGCAGCTGCCATGAAAGAGCAGGGGACACAAATAATAGTGGATATGGTGAAGGAAGAGTATCCCTAGCATCAAAGGCAGCTCCAAATTGCAAGACACAATTTTCCTTGCTAAATGATCCATCTTTTTTAGCTCAAAAGGTGGCAGCTCCATCCATACAAGTCTGAATATCACAGAAGCATATTTTTAGCCTTCCAAAATCCATAAAAAGTGCAACTGCAGTCTGATGCTGCCAGCAGTCTCACAGTTCTTAGTTGGGATACCTGAAACCCCTTGTGGGTATGTCTAGGAGGAGAACAGAAGGGAACATAAAATCCTTGGATATTAAATTGGCTTCTGATGGAATTGGCTGCCCTCCCCCTGCCTCCCTCCCTCATTTGCTTTACAGCTGATATCCTACAACACTTCAAATGAAATTACAGGCTCTAGCATAAACATAAGCTGTTCAGTTTTAGACATGCCATACAAGACTTAAACAAAAGCTGTTGGACACACACAGTGGCCTCTGAATCTCCTTTTTCCTGCAAGTCACAGTGCCAGCAGCAGAGATGATTGAACTGTTGGTGAAACAGGTCCTAAAGCACCACAGGTCACATTCTGGTGTGCTATGGAGAACCAGCACCTACCTCAGGCTGTAAAATACAGCAGAAGCTTCTCCTTCCTTGTTGTGTGCTGCTGAAATGCCCAGGAAGAGGTAGGGTGGAACCTGGCTCAGCTGCACATCTTTCAGACAGCTGTGAGTGAAAATCAGTGTCCTGCACACAGTGACCATTGGTGCTGCATCGAGGGGACCAAGTCTGGTGCATTTGAGCCTCAGCCAATTTCCTCAGGGTGCACAATAAATGCCACTTGCAGACAAGGACACTGATGTGAATTTACGATTGTAAGGTGTTAAACTGAGGCTGTAAAATTAATTACAAAGACAAATAAGCAATTGCTCTCTGTCAGCTTTTCCCTCCAGTACTGCAGACTTTAGCTCGGGGAGCATAAGAGACAGATACCTCTGCAAAGACTACAGTGCACCTTCTTTCTGCCTCCAGGCAATGGAGCACTTCTAAAAATATCTTCAGGCAATTTCCTAAGGTTCATGCCCCAAGGTGTTATGCACTGATGCACTTTTCATGTCGTGCCTCTTCAGTCAATAAAGGGTTGTTCTTTTGAGAATTATCAAATGTTCAGTTTCTAAGACCTTGAAGGCATGACACAAATCAGTATTTCTGTTGTTGAAGGGAGTGCCATGTCACATGCCCATGTCAGTATGCAATAGGTTGCTTTTTACTTTTATATACAGTTCATTCAAGTTAAGAATCAGCCTTGCTGATTTCACCTGCAGGAACACCAGGACCAGAACTCTTGAGAAATTTCCACAAGTTCATCAGGGATGAAGAAAAATGACAGAAATGCCTCCAAAATACAAAAATTCTGTGAATGCTAAACACTATTAGGACCATCAGTGCTGCTTGGGTTGCCTATTAATCTTATTTTTTGCTAACACGAAAGCAATTTCAGTACAAACCTTCTCTTGAGACCAGCATTTCTGCAACAAATAGTTAATCATTTTATCTTCCCTTGTTTAATGCCACTATTAATTTAGAAATACGATGTCTTTCAAATTCCATTGAAAAAAGATCATCAGTTAACCAACATTTCAATCATTAGCTTTGGTGGCTTTAGCTTAATGGGCTAATTAAGGGAAATTTAATCAAAACTCAAGATGGAAATGTCACACATCAGTGAGATGGAAAAAACCCCACAGACAACCTCATTCCCTTGCTCCCTCTTTTTTTTTTTCTCCCTTTCGTTTGATCCCTGAAATCAGTGCAATAACTCCCTGTGACTTTGGTGGGAGCTGACACTGAAGCAGCAGCAGCAGCAGATGTTACTGCAGTGACTCAGAACAGCACTGGAGGTGACAACCACCACAAACTGGGGTTTGTGCACAGATCAAAGAGGGGCAATGCTGACTGCACACCCTGCATCTCCACTGGCCTCAGCACAGCACAGACACAGCCCCTGCAAACACAGATGCTGCAGTGAATGGCCAGGAAAGAATATTCCTGAAGGCAATTATACAGGAGCAGCCAAATTACTGCTGGCAAGTTTGTCATGACTTTGTGGCTTAATAAATCCCTGCAACTTCTTCATGTGGAAGCCAGATCCTCATCAGATAATTCTGTGCTTGTAAGCTAGATTTCTTCACAGGAATGAAAGCATGGCAGCTATGAAACACTTCAATGACTTGGATATTAGAAAAATTACGACTTGAGGACTGGTGGAAATGACTTCTTCACTGTATCCTTTTGCCCTACTCAACCTGGAGCACAGCTAGAAAGGGATTCCTTAGATGTATGACAATTGGGCAGTACAAGTTCCACCCTGCAGGGCTGAGTGTTAGCTGAGCTGTGAAAGCAAAAACATACAAAGGCCTTTTTAAAAGAAATTCTGTTTGAGGCAAATAGGAAAGGCTGTACCAGGGGGACACCCTGCCCCTCCTCCTTTCAGTCTCCTCTCTGGGGAACATCAGCTCCTCTGTTTGAAGGATACAAATTTCACATACATTCAAAAACCACTCAAGGGTGACCACTGCTCAAATATTTCAGTCACAGATAAGAAATGACACAAAATGACATTTTTTTGGTTTGTTTCTTTGGTCCCATGTGTGAAATATCAATCCAGATGAACAGTTCTATGAAAGTGTAATTTAACTCAGTTAAATCTGACCAAAACAGGAAAACATCAAAGCTTCTGGTCTCCCACTCCTCAAGTTTTTTGAATCTTGGGTTTTATTTCAGTGTGGTCAATATTTGAGCTTTGTAACATCCCCCTGGGTTTTGTTTCAGCTCGTTCTTTTTGATTACTGTTATTTTTTTTCTTGATTCTAACAGAAGACTGGTTCTCCCCAAAATATTTGGGGCTTATTAGAGAGGGAAATTCAGAAATGAAAGTGTGAAGATGTATTTATAGCTATGTTGGTATAGCCTCCATGAGGACAAAACTCTTTTGCACACATCATCTATCCCTA